CACTTGATCTGTTCTCATCAATTAGTACTCTACTTTTCTTGATCTCTCTCTCTTTTTTGACTTTATTAGTATTGCGGATACTAGAGATTGATTTGATGAAACAACAAGACCCGGAGAAAAGAAAGAAAGAAAACAAAAAAAAAGTAGAAGAAGAAAAATTTGTAGATAGTGGGAGGTTCAGCTTTACAAAGATGAGGAAGGGGGTGATAAAGAGAGATAGAGGTATAGGGAGAGAAAAGTTCTTTTAAGCTTTCTGCAACAAAGGCTTTTCAAACTTTTTCTTAGGCTCTTCAAAGTTCCCCTTATGTTATTATGATGAAAGCTTTTAAAAAATTTCTTGGGTCTCTCTCTTTCTCTCTAGCTCTCTCTTTGCTATTTTGACTCTTTATCAACCTATTTCTCTCTCTCATACACTTGAGAGTTTGAGAGCAAGTGAGGAGTCTTTCTTTGATGTCTATAATGCTTCTGCTTATAAAGCTCATTGCACTGTGCCATCATTGCATATAATCTATACATACACTCTTGTAACTAAAGAGAGAGATGTGATGTATATTTTTTTATTTTGTTTTAGATTTAGATTTAGAATTTTCTTTTTGTTATTTTGTTTTTATACTTTAGACTTTGTTTCTTAGAGCATGTTGGATATATGATTTTTTTTGGCTTGGACCCATATCTTGTCTGATTGATGAATTTGTCTGATTTTCTTGAACCTTCATAAAACTATTTATAAAATAATTTCGATTTGTTTTTGTTTTATGTTAGTGATTATCTACAATATGATCGTTTCTCTAACAAATGAAAATAAAAATAAAAATATGAGATCATATACGTCCACATGTAGGGCTTATTGTCATTGATAAACTAGGTCTAGTTTGTGTAGAGTTTATATATATCTCCATTGATACAATATGAGGTTACTTTAAACATAACTCGATCTTAGATGATATCATAAGAACTAATTAAATAATAAGCTTATTTAACTTTATGACTGTCACTCTCAAGTCCTATAAGTAGTGTGATTATACATCACTAAATACATCTTGCGTTCCATTATTGTTAAAGCAATCCAATAATATATAGACAATCTCTCAGAAAAAAACTTGTCATCGTGAAACTATATATATGAATGTTATGTCATCATGTTTCCAAAGGTTGGTCCACATACATGTTAAGATTCTTTTCGAATTACACTTGGAAACAAAGTAGAGGAAAAAAAGGTATATGGTTCTTGTGAATAATCCAAGGATAAAATTGCATAATTGCATTAAATACCAAATTCTGTAAGTTTACAATAATTCATTTCAAACTATTATTTTCTTCTATTTGGCTTATATGATGGATGTACTAGTGCCCATACTGTTAAGGGAAAACAAAAAGACAATTACATCAATAATATTCATTGCGTTAAAATTTTAAAGCAATTCAAGACAAGAGTAAAAAATGTGAAAGTATTATTAATTATTATAAAACCCTACGTATTAATAAATTCATAAGAAATGAGGAAAAGAAAAGAAAAAAACAAAACCGCACGTGCCTTTATGTCTTACTCACGTGACCTTTTTCCCCATCCACTCTCTACTGTCGATTCCTTTTAGGCTTTTTTGACATTCTTCCGAGTCATTACATTCTATAAGAAGGTTTCATTAACATACCTAATTAAGAGTTATTAAGTATTTTTACGATCAAGGATTTATTAATTAGTTTATTTTGTTGTTATTGTGTGGAACTCATATGAAAACTGCCAAAATTAATCATTATTATGATCTTGATTTTTTCATCAATCATATTTAAAAACATTTTTAATATAGTAATTAGCTAGACAAGTTTTGGAGTTAAACTAAGATCGATCGACTTTAAATATCATAGAATGTGTAGTCGCATTCCCTATTTTATTTCTCTATTTCAATTATATATTTTTATATGTATATCTTGGCTTGATCGAAGCTACTAGTTTTATATTCTTCCTTACTGTCGAAAAATAATTGAAATTTCTGATAAAAGAAACAAAAGATACCTCTCATAATGTTATTTTTGTCAGTTGGCTATATTTGGTTTCAAATGGACCGAAAGGAAAAATAAAAACAAATGAAACGAGAAGATGTTGTGATCGAGAGTTACGGTCACAGCTTTTGTATAAATTAAGGGAAAGAAATATGAGAAATGAGAGATCGTGTTTTGTAATAATTTCACAAGATGAGATTAACTCACTCTTCCTAGTTCCTAGTACTACTCTCTTTACTTAACGTAACCACTTGCTTTTATTCCTTTACTAATAGACAACATAATGCATGATTATACAATATTTATTTCGTTGATTAAGAAATGTTAAAAATTTGTGGGTAGAATATAAAATTTCAGAAGTTAAGTTAAGATATGAGGAGGAAATAAAGGAAGATATTGAAGATGATGAGAGTAGGAGAATTGAGTTGGAAAGAGAGATCAAGTCACATGCTCCAAATTTACAAAGCAAAGAAATGCCATCATCTCCCCCAACTCCTCCCTTTGATTCTCTTTATCTTTTTTTTTGTTTTTTGTTTTTAATCTTCATAGTTTAATGATAAAAATATCATATATAAAATAAATTAGTTGTTTGATAAAGAACATTCCCAATACATCATTACTCATTTTGATTCGGATATTTTGGTCTCATGCCTTCATTCTCAAGTTTGGCATACATCCCATAAACTCTAAAATGCTGACAAAAAAAAAGAGAGGAAACACTTACCTATACGAATGTATATATATATATATATATATGTATATGTGTTCAATCTTTCAAATCGGATTATGAAAAGAAAAAAATTATTTCAATGAACAAAAAGGCTTAGTTAACGTGTATGTATGTGAGTGTGTATATGTTTGTTTATTAAGTTGGCACTGAGTATTTAATAAAATCGAATTAAGATGGCGACCAAACAAAATTGTGATTAGAGACTGAAATGATTATTGGGCCATGAGATCAGTCCACTGGCCGTAAATGGGCCTTCCGAAATGATGTACCATAGTAACAGTGAAAAGTTGGATCCGAACTCCAGTGTCAATAATGGATCGTGGATATTAAATTGATCACTTAAAGATTTTTATGCTTTTTAGCAATCTAATATTGGCTCATTCTGTACATTTTTTTTAAACAAAATAATTGTAAATTACAGAAAATTACTAAAGCTTTTATCAAACCAACGTTGTTTTGTTGCTAATAAAGAGTGATTAACGGGATCTGCAAAGAGTTGAATACGCAATTGAATTCTCGGGAGCTACGATTATTGATTATTTGGTCACTATTACTATAGTCCCGGATTACCAATTATTTCTGAGATTATAACTTTACTAGTTCTAGTAAAGGTAACTATTCAGGTGATGGACAAAATCAACATCAATGCTATCTTAGGTGACATGGGAGCCAATGAAACTAATTCTTCTTGATGCTGAATCAGTCGTGGATTGGTGTAAATCCACTGGTTCTGTTATCATAGTGTCAAACATCTATCTTAATTATTGAATTTAACGCCATCTTTTGGTTTGGTCAATGAACTTGATATCCAAAAAACTTAATCAACAAATGTTAATGTTTTAACTGGCATACAATAAAATTTATGATTTAAATGACTTTTCTCCTAAAAGAATAGTTGGCTCGTTAATTATTTTTCTTTGTATAGTAATGATCATGGTTAAAGTATAAGCTTGTCTATTTTATAGTTTATCACTACTATTAGTTTAATAAAATAAATCAGTTCATAACTAGTTTAGTACATACTTTGAACAAATAAAATGATTTTAATAAATCAAGCCGCCTCGAACCGTCCCTTCCTCCTATCAAATAGGTTTGATGCTCTCCGTCCCAAAGTATACGAAAAAAGTATTGCCTAATCACGAACAATATCTAATCTTTTAGAGCAACTGCTGCTCAAAATCTTTAAGTGTTAATCATGAACAAAAAATTTAAGTATTTATAGTGATTATTACATCATTTCTCTCTTATTAAATATTTGATAATGTTGTTTTGATTTACTACATTCTAAAATCATAATACAATATGATTGTTTATTTTGTTTGCTTGACTACTCTAATTTACAATTTAATAGTTGAATTGTTTTTGCTCACACGAATATACATGAGTTTTTTTCTTCTTCTCATCCATAGTAATAAGTTAATAACCATGCAAAGCTACTACAACCTTAGAAATCAAAGGAAATTGTTTTCTTCACTATCAAATTAATTAAAAATCTATTGTCTCCAATTTTATTAACAAACTCGTTTTAGAATTCCCTTATATGTGAGCTAAGATATCACTGATCTTTTCAATCTTGAGTCTTGACCATAAACGAGGATCTTTGACAACATGAATAAGAGTCTTGGATTTAATCGCAAACACATCTACTAATGGGATTATACAAAAAATGAATTTGAATTCTATTTCACTATTGACAAAAAAAAGAATTTTAATTCACTGTAATATTTACCCGAATACACAAATGGGCCTCAAATAAAATCATTTTTTATATAGGTTTCGAAATCAGACAAAAGTAAACATCATTTTATAACAATTTATAAAGGTGTTTATTTCTTAAGTTTTGACACATTGATTTGCCTTCAATGGTTTTGGTTTACACACACAATCATCATATTATCTAATGTATATATATACTCTCTAAGAGAATTTGATATTGACAAATATATGTATAATGGTATATGTAGACAGTAGTACAATGTAAAGGATAAGATGAAGCAGTGGGCTTTGATTTTGTTTTGTCCTCTTCTTTATTCTCTCTATCACATGGCTTTCCCTTAATCTCTGTACCCTACAAATAAACCAAAAACTAATCTCTTCTCAATCTATTTTTTCTTTTTAATTAAAGCCTTTTTGGTTCTTTTATTTTATTTATATCCAAAATTGTCATTTTTAGGATTCTCTCTCTCTCTCTCTCTCTTACAAAGGAAAAAGAAGAGATCTTTAAAACCTTCTCTCTCCTCTCTCATATCGTATCCCTTCTCTCTGCTTAGGTTTCTCTTTCCTCTCTCTTTCCCAATCTCTCTCTCTCTCTCAGGTTTCTCTCTCCAGGAAGGTCAAAAAAATTCCTTAAAGAGCCGTTTAGACCAAACTCCCTCCTCATGTAAGATTTCTCTCTCATCAATCTATGTCTCTTTCTTTCTCTCTCTCTCTCTCTTGATTTTTTATAAGATTGAGTCCTTTTTGTACTGTACTCTCTCTTTCCATTTCTGCGATGCTGCTCTCATCCTTTTATCTTATTGTATCAGTTTCCATGAAATATATGATTTATCAAACTCGAGATCTGAACATTTTTGCTCTGTGTGGAAAAGAAAACAAAAAAAAAATCGTTGTTTTATGTTCTGTTTCATTAGATCTGGTTCTGGGTTTGTCAGATCTAGAGATCTGCTTATGGGTTTCAGACATAAATGTGAATGAAAATGGATTCTGATTATAAAAACCCTAGTTTTCGTTTCTGGGTATCTCAAAGATCCGTGCTTTCGTTTGGACTCTCTGTTACATAATCTGAGAAAATGAATTGGTGTTTGTGTTAATTTCGTGATAATTTCGATGAATCCGAGGTTTAGAATCATATATACAACCGCAAATTTGTAAACTTTTTCGATTGCATATTGTTTTTGAATCTTACACAGACTTGTTTGGATTGAATTGGTGTTTATGTGTGTTTTAACTTTTAATGGCATTGCTTGTAGCTTATAATCTCAATGGATGATGATGGATTTCGCAATTGGGGATACTATGAGCCAGCGGCTGCTACGTTCAAAGGTAATCTTGGTTTGCAGCTTATGTCTTCCATTGACCGGAACACTAAACCGTTCTTACCTGGACGTGAATCGAATCTAATGATCGGTTCAAATGGTTCGTATCATCCTCGAGAGCACGAGGCCTCAATGCCTATGAACTATAGCTGGATTAACCAACCAAAGGACAACAAGTTCTTCAACATGTTACCTATAAGCACTCCAAATTACAGTAATGTAATGTCCGACACATCTGGTTCGAATTCGATGCAGATGATGCATCAGCCGGTTGTTAACACATCGCGGTTTGAGGAAAACCCGGCTCCTCCTCCTCGCGAAGATGAAATCGTTCAGCCTAGTAAGAAGAGAAAGATGAGAGGCAGCATCTCATCACCAACAGTACCGAAAGCGAAGAAGCCGCGTAAGCCGAAAGAGGAGAGCGGTGCTACCAACAATGTTCATCAGCAGCGTGTGAAACCGGCTAAGAAGAGTGTTGATCTTGTGATTAATGGAGTGAGTATGGATATTTCTGGTCTTCCTGTACCGGTCTGCACTTGCACTGGAACTCCTCAGCAATGCTACCGTTGGGGATGCGGGGGATGGCAATCCGCTTGTTGCACAACGAACATTTCCATGTATCCTTTACCGATGAGTACTAAGCGACGCGGTGCAAGGATTTCAGGTAGGAAGATGAGTCAAGGCGCGTTTAAGAAGGTCCTTGAGAAGTTAGCAACAGAAGGTTATAGCTTTGGGAATTCCATTGATTTGAAGAGTCATTGGGCTAGACATGGAACCAATAAGTTCGTCACGATCAGATAAGTTTGGAAAAAACTCAAATGTTTCTCCTCTCTGATCGTGTATATAAAACAAACTGTGACCTATGTTTTCCTTCTTCTTCTTTTTCAAGGTAACTTCTTCGTTTTAGGGTTTGATCATATCTTAATTCATACATTCTTAATGTTCTGTTTTTTTTTTCTTTGTTTGAAGATTTCTTGGAGAAAATCTGTAGGAAACAAAAATCGTTGGTTCTTTTCTTGTTCTTTTGCAACTATTTCATTTCATCCTTAGGTTTAAAATGTTGACTTGTAACATCAGATGTTGTTATGATAAAATGTTGTTATCTTAATTAGTGAAGAAGAACTTTATTTAAAGTTGTTTCTTTTGCATTTTGCCCTTATACAAATCGTTAGGTATGCAATGTTAGTAGTCTAAACGAGTGTACACATTAACATAGATGCACAACTGAGGTAGACTAAAACATGATTAGTAACTAGTTACATGATTAGAAGAACGCTCCTCACTGGTCACCAAATCCACCTCTGCCATAGCTGCTACAGTTACGGCGTCACTTTTGCCGCCTTCCGATCTAACTCCGGGGCGATATGGAGAAGCTTGTCGAGTAATATCACTTGAGATTCCGTGATTCGAACGAAATTGGAGATTTCTTGAGCGTTGGTGACACCAAAGTCTCTACATAATTCGAAATACTTGAAGAGTTCTTCTCTCTGCGACAAAGATTTTGCCACAATCTTCATCGCTAGTTCCGCCTCCGCAGAAGATATATCTCGATTATTCGATTGAACATCGGATAAGAAACCAGCGAATCCGCGACATATATGACTGTTAATCTCGAAAACCTCGCTGATTACATATTCCATAGCTTCGATTACAAGAGGAGTTTCACCACAAATCGGTTTGATTCTCATCAATGAATCAACGATTCTTTGCAATTTAACAATGATATCAAGTCGAGTCATGTTCTTGTTGAAGAAAAGAATCGATCTTTCGTCAAGAAACAAGAAATAAGCGCGAACGAAGACATTAAACCGACCGGTTCTACTAAACCGAGATTTCCTTTTCCCAAAACCGGAAAGATCGAACGGTAACCTTCCGATCGAATCAGCAGCTTTGATCCCGGACAGGAACAAGCCGTGTAACAACATCAAACATTTCAAAGCCACGGTCCAGTTGCGAGTGCGTTCCACGCGTAACGAGATGGCGCGTATGATTGGTTTGAAACTCGAAGGGTTGCTCTGTATGAATCTGTAGATGAACTGAACGTTTTCACTGTCCATTGAGAGATCGTTGTGGCTCGTCGCTTTGATAACCGCAACCGTGAAATTTCCTTCCTCCGCCGTGATAAGACTGAGTTTGTCTTTTATAGCTCCGGTGGCGCGTCTCCATAACTTCATTTTTCGCCGGAGAAAGGTCTTCATCATCTCATGACAAGTTTTATAATTTCGATGTTTTCTATGTTTTCTATGACAAGATTTGGTTATGATATTAGACTTTTAGTTTGTTTTTTCAGTTTGCTCTGTTTTTGGTTTTGGACTTGTGGTTATGGTTTGAAATTTTATAACAAAATTAGTTTCTTATTTTAAAACATTTATTTGTGAAAAGTAATTGAGATATTTAGTATAGTCTTAGGTATTAAGTTATGTAACTGTGAAATGATAATAAGCCTATTTGAGAAATTATGAAAACACAAAAAATTTATATAACAAACAAAAATAAAGTTTTGGCGGGTAGTTAGAAGTGTCATATCTCAACTAGTTGACACGTGGCATCATCAGTAGCCGTTAGATTAATCTCTGGTTCTTATCCTTGTGAGGTTGGTTGGTTGTTCAATGGCGCAGCTACATTGCTTTGCTTTTTCTTTTCTTGAAACGCTAATACATGGCGCTCTTAAAGCCACCAACACCACATTTCACTTTCTTTCACAATCAAGATTCTCGGATTGATACATCGGATTCTAACTTAACACTTTCCTTTGATACATTCAGAAGAAGAAGACGAAGAGATGTTTTACTCTCAATTTCAGGGACACTAATCCCTCAGCTGCTCTTCTTCGATAGCAGCCGCTACTCTTCTGCGAATGCCGCTGATTTTTTCAACTTCGGTGCTCCTCCACCCGAGCCTGAACGAACCGTCGAACTTGCTCAGGTCTAAACATACTTAATGTCTTTACTTTAATTACATTTTGTCGTGGCTAATGGAAGAGTTTTGGATGTTCCATCAAAATAGTATGTTCACAAATGAAAAAATCAAACTAGAGATCCTCGAGAACGTATCACTAGAACAAGACTCGCTTTAGTTCTACTTTTGATCCATTTGTTTCATATTATAATCTAGATGTTGTCTTCACTAAACATTTTGAGTGATAGTGTGTTATATGTACAACAAGTTTTACTCACATGGACTGAAACAAAGTGAAAGGATCTTTATAAAACAAATTCCACAAGGATTAGTTTCTTTTGTGAATTTCTTTTTTCTTTTTTTAGATTTTATTCGAATTTTGATCAAGTGAATTATCCGAGCAAGTTTACAAAAACATTTATGTACTAAGAATATTGAATGCTAAGGCTGATTATTGGGGATTTAATCATATAAGTTATCAGTAATATGTTTGTGGAAGACTCTTGGTAGCAAGATTATACAAAATATGATAATTTCGTGTATTTGGGATATGGTTTTATAGGAAGGATTAAGAAAAAATGCAGAATATATAAAAAGAATTAAAGAGATGATGATAGAAAAAAAGTTGTGGAAAGAAGGAGGGAAAGAGCTGAGGAGAAGTGCATCAAACATGAAGCAAGACTTTTACTTAATCATCCAAGCAAAGCCACCTAAGGATAGACCTCTTTTTAGGTCTCTTTATTCCACTCTCTTCAATTCAATCACAAAGGTACATATTCTTCATTTTCCTCTCACACTACTATATATATATATATATATATATATACTCATTACTATAAATTTTTAAATTTATATATACTTTGAGATTTGTAGATGGATTATGCAGCAAGAGATGAAGATGAAACTAAAGTATTGGAGTACTACAAGAATGTTGTTGCAATCCTTGATGATATCTTCCTTCGGATTTAACTTCGAACAATAGTGTTTAATTTAGGCTATCGATTCACATTTTTTTGTCATGTTCTTTCTTGTCAATCCAAAGGAAAACACTAGTTGAAATACACAAAGTGACAAGTGAAAAAGTTGGCAAGTGTTTTTTTTTTTTTTTTGTATTAGTTATCTAGCTAGTCATCTTAAGACACTTACCTACCTACATAGGAAACCATAGGTTATGTAAACAAACAACCGTTCAAAACGAGATAAACTTTGAAACACACGTACCATTATTCATGTATTTCTATATGAATATAATTAACTAAATCCAAGACGGAATAATAAAAAGAATCAACTTACTTATCCAAGAAATTGAATTACGAAATAACAAGATTTTTAATCTTATTATATATTAGTTTGTTTAAACCCACAACATAATATATATCATCTTTCATGCTGGTCTATTGTATAAACCAACTAACATTATATTGCATGCTTATTAAATAAGTTAATACGTACTTAATTAACTCAAACTCAAGATTTATACCCAACATAATACACTTTTCAAATCACTACGAGATTCATTTCGAAAGCTTAATTGACTAACCTCTTTACGTAAAGAGTCTCTTGACCGTTCGTTGTAGAATGGACTGATTTGAGAAGAGCCTCTTGACCGTTTGTTATAGGAATATGGTTATACATTACACCGTTAATATTTTACGGTATATACATATGATATGGTGATTTATTTATTTATATAGTCGTGGATTGGTGTAAATCCACTGGTTCTGTTATCATAGTGTCAAAGTTCTATCTTAGTTATTGAATTTAATGCCATCTTTTGGTTTGGTCAATGAACTTGATAACCAAGTGCTAATAACTCAATTGGTAAAGATCTCTGGCAAAAGCTTAGAGGTCGCCGGTTCGAGTAGTGCTTGGAACGAAACCATATAACATGCTTTAGTTTCGGGTCTGAGGGGATGTATGGGATTCGGCTCAGAACCTCTTTGATTATTCAAAAAAAAAATATATATATATATATAATTGGTGTATTTATAGTAAGGTAGCTTTTACCATTCGCGTACAAAAACGGCTCGTTAAGTAAAGCAAAGTGGTGTGTATGTGTGTGTGTACCTCTCAACATGCTTTCCCCTTAACGGCCGGCTTTAGTGGTTTTGTTTTCTTTTTGGCAATTTATAATTTTAACGGAATAAGAGCAAATCTAATATATTGGCTTTTCTTTCTCTCCATCTCACCAATCTTCTTCAAAGCCCTAAAAGGGAAAGAAGAAAGAACAAAAAAGTAAGACATGAAACAAAGCGAAAGATTGTTCGGATTTTCAAAGAAAGATAGCATCTCCTTTTGTTAAAAGCAAGAAAAAGTGTATATAATACTGTCTATTGTAGTCGTTTTTACTCTCTTTTTAGACCCTGAAACCAAATAGTGTGATTCAATCCCACATATACATAAATCAAAAACTTGTTATTGCTATGATCAATTTATATGATTAATATACTAGACATATAAAATTTGTTAAGTTTACTCTTTGGATATATATTATGATTTTCATTTGACATATATATAAAATTTGTTAAGTTTTAATTTTCAATGCGTAGTTTGTAATATAAAAATACATACATATATATATATATATATATATTACCTTTTATAGACTCCATTAACACAATATCATGTTTTGAAGTTTGGCACCGATTGCTAATATTGAGAAAAACATTCTTACAAAAAGATGAATCACCCCATACGCCATTTGAATGATGTATGTGAAAATGGTCCTCTGAAAAAAGAAAGCAAATATAGTGGGAAGTTAAGGAATCTTTTTCTGCCTCACTATCTTTTTTCACTGTGGGGTTAAAAAATCCCTCCTTTTCATGCCAAAACACACTCCAAAACATTTGTTTTTTCTTCTTCTTTTTAGATTTTTTACCTCATCTTTTACCCTTTTATACACTCAAGCTCTCCCCACCTTTCACACTTCCTTCTCTCTTCTCTCATTTCATCTTCACCCAAAGCTCATGGACTTCGATTCCTCTGTGAGAGTTCTTTATTTTCTCCCTTACCATAGTCTTTCTTTACTTCTTTAACTTTTGACTTTGATTTCATTCATTTTACGAAACTTGGCATGTTTATTCTTGAATATTTGCTAACAAGTCTTTCTTGTTTTCTTGTTAGGAAAAAAGAGAAAGTGTGGAGGAGGAGGAGACAGTGATGATGGAGTACGATGAAGAAACCAATCAGTTCGACGTGGAGTTTTGTCCCGTTGAGCATCCGGTTGAACCGGAAGAAGAAGATCGTCCGGTTAAATGTCCCGTATCAATCCCATCTTCTCTCATCCACGTATGTTTTTAGTTCCTTTGAAATCAACTAATTACACCAAAAAAATATTATCATTCAACCTGATTAAATTATATGATTAAAACAAAATTTTAAAATTGTGAAGAAGTCGAGGGAGAAAACTAAACCGGGATGGGTAAAACACAGAGCCAGTAGCTACGAAACTCCGGTTTGTCCACCAACACGTCATCATGTCCGTAACGTACGTAAGAGACACAACTCATTTGATGTGGAAGCAGGGAACAACAACTTCTTCACGAGATCTCATCATCATCATGATGACGAAACCACAACATCTCGAAGATCTAACGTCACCATCTACCGAGTTCTTCAACAAGTTCGCGAGTTCGAGCCGTGAAAATATATCAAAATCTCTGATTATGCATTGATGAGGTTTTAGTCGATCGGTTATTTCTTTTGAGTTGTTATTTTGTCAGCCGGCGATTTGAGTTTAAAGTTTATGTTTGGTGGGTTAAGAAGTAGACTAGACTAGTAGTAGTAGTTCGATGTAGTACCAACGTTTCGGTATACTTGTTATTTCGGTGATAACCGGTCTGGTCAGATTCGGTTAATATCTTAGAAAATGTTATAATTTCTAGTTTCTCATGAGTGTGCATTGCCACTTTCAGTATGTTATGAAATCTATATATGGGCTTAACTTGGCTATTTTTCTTATAAAAAGTCCATGTGAACCTGGCTTTGTAGTGTCTTCCTTAAACAACAATTCAAGTAGATCCTGGTCACAAAGAAAGCCATGACTAGCAAAACCCGCTAGAGTTTCTAGTAGAAGATGAAGATGATTTGATCAGTTTCAGTTTAGGTTTTAAACAAATGTGCATTTGTGACTCTCGTTTAACAGCTGAACGGCAAACACATCTTACCTCTAACTCTCTAAAACTCGAAGTACAAGCGATGGTTCAAGTTCAAAAGCACTATTTGATGCACAAAAATAAAGCTTAAAGCAAATACGTATATTATACACAAAATGCGTACGCACAACAATAACCATTCACACTTTCACACGGGCATTAACACAAAACAATAGTATTCTTTTCACTTCAAAATAGAGAAACTTGTAACCTCTAAAGAATAACAAATTTCACATTTATTTTTTACTCTTATCTCACCATATCTCCTAAAAGTCAGTCACCTTCTGTATTCACAAGTCTCCTTCACATCTTCTTTTTACCATTAACATTACTCCACAAATCCTGCATCAAAGTTCAGACTTCTAACATTAGTCTCTCTCTACACAAAGTTCCAAATCACGACAATGGTCATATGAGGATCCTACTATAAGAGCCTGTGAAGCTAATCAATTGATGCTTTAAAGTTTTTGATATTTTCTCTTACCAGTGCAAAAGAGAGTCAAGTCAGCCTTGGAGAGGCGAGTCTGGCTCAGAGCTATAAATCGATGTGTAGGTAGTAGAAACAGTATCTTCCTTTTGCATGGCCACATAGTTTGAGGGGGTAGAAGTGAGTCTCCTAACTTCTTTGAAATACCCGTTTTGGCGATGATGACCCGAGTAAGATCTTGGGGTTAGAAGAAGGTCAGGAGTTGTTGTCCCTACTGAGCTTCTACGAGGCGTGGGTGGAACTGAACCATTCCCATTGCTAATGTTGAAACCATTGGGCTTTCTGAAGCTGCTGCTTCTTCTTGGACTTGGTTTTGATCCGTAAATGGATTCCCTTTGGGTTAGTAGGAGATCCTGCCTCTTCTTTTGATCCTGCACAGAGATATAGAACTTCTTTTAAGTGAGAAAAGGAAAATCTTGAGTGTATGTAAGAGAAATTTTCTGTTCGACAAACCCTGTATCTTTTCTTTTCCTCTTCCTGTTGTTTCCTTGTCAGTTTATAGTCTTCTAGTATGTTAACCAATCGAACCTATAGAGAGTAGTCAAAAGAATCAGAGAAAGGACTTTGACTGTCAATGACTTTGCATTACTTCATAGTTTTAGCTTACACCGTCGTATAGAAATGTATTCTGCATGTCTTTTTCCCATACAAGAGTTCTCTTGATAAGAGTGTCAACCATTCCTGGAGTAAACGACAAACAAAGGTATAACTGTATAAGCTACTATTATTTGTTTTATTTCACTATTCAGAAACTAGAAAAGGTGAAAGGTGTGTAGTACCAGGGATCTTATTGATTGTAACCCGAGCTCGTTCTGCTCGCTTGAGGTTTACATGTCCACCTCTTCCAGCGCTATACCGATTCTCATCCTTAAACCAAAGAAATAATCGTTAGAATACATCCTTCAACGAATCCATTTTTCTTGTACAAGTTTCAAGCTTTAAGCTTCTCTCATACCAGATTATATTCTTCCAACCAATTTTCCTCTTCACATGCGGAGAGCCAACGGTCAATTCTGTCCATGATATCTTTTCGGCTTTGTGCTTCGTCTTTAATCTTGTTAATTTGCATTTCAATATTTGCAAGAAGCTCTGAAGGGTCCACTAATCCTGAAGAAACATGGGGAAGCTAGGCTTAAAAAACAAGTGGAATTGGCAAGTATATATCATCTATTTTAAAACCAAAAGCTCAACCACATATACCAGAATCTATTAATGCAGTTGACTTCTCAGCAGAAGTGCTTGTGTCAGGTTGAATGTGAGTTAGCCTGCACAGATCCTCTAACTCGGATCTTCGTTTCATTACAAGCTCCTTCATTCTGCTTGCTTTCAGTTTACTGAGACTGTCCACTTCTGAAGATACCTATTGTAAAGGCAAAACAAAGACTCAGATAAAGAATGAGACCAAAAACATAAATGTTGAATAGTAGAATTGCTTTTACTGAACCTGTTCAATGGTCTCAGTTGAAAGGATGCCCGGCTCAGTGACATTAGATTCAGATGATCTTACAACAAAAGTAACTCTTCCAAATTTAGTTCTCTCCTCCTGTGGTGTGTCCATTAGATTCCATAGCTCGAAAAGTGAAGCTACTACATCCTTCAGCTGCACATTTGGAAGTATGATTGGAAACACAAAAAATGAGAGGCCTATTTATGAATATAAAACAGAAGAATAGTATTGTGCAAAGATGCATGTAGAGGTTACCTTTTGAAATCGGGCTTTCCTTTCAGTTTTTAGCTTTTGAATCATGTGCTCAAGACCCTCTAATGTGCTATCACTAATGTTTGTCGATTGCTCTTGGTCTGTCCTATGCAAGCTTGGATGAACCTCACTAACCGTTTGACTAAAGTCAACTCCAAGAACACCGCACAGTGCGTGGACTTCGTTGACATGACCCAACACTTTGTCGAGACGATCAGACTGGATGAAAGGAACATAAACATGTTTATTAGAAAAAATGAAATGATGGTAATTGTTCATTACTCTATATAGATGTGTGACAAAAACTTTTACCTTTTCCTTTTGAAGCGTGCGGAGATGTGTTTGATACTCGTTAAGTTTCCTCAGAGTCAAGTCTTGTTCTTCGAGAGTCAAGGAACTGATCATTGCCTTGTTGAGATGGTCACTATATCCTGAGATTTCCCCACTAATCTTGTCAATTTGAGATTTTATATCCGAAAACTGTTTCATTCTCTCCTCTTTTTGAATCCTCAATTCCTCAACTAGAGGGGTCACAGCTGCAAGCTTTTCTTTCAATGATTTTGAGCCTTTATCCAGTTTAATCTGATTACAAGAAAAAAACACGAAATTTTAGCAATAGTTGTAAGCTAATATATACACAAATCTAATAACTCAATTATCATGAAGATAGGCTCGTACGGGTGAGTTGATGTTTAACACACCAAGGGCAGCCATTAGAGAAGCAACTTCAGCTTCAATTGCTGCAACAGACTGATGAAGCTTTGCCTTAGAATTTGCAGCCTCGTCAACTTTTCTTTGATAGATTTGAAGACATTCTCTCTCCAGTTCCATCAGCATCCTATCTTTCTCAGTCTCACTTTCACCGATTTCAACCCATATTTTCTGTTTCAGACACAACAATAACAATGATTTTTTTGAGTAAAAGAGCTAATGCATGAAATTATTACCAAAAAACATAAACAGTTACATGTAGACAAGAAAAAAAAAAACGAAAAACAAAGTTCTTGTTTAGTCAAAATCCACAGGAACCCTTTGACCTAAGAGATGAAAAGATAATGAAAACAAAAGACTAGTTTCAGGTAAATTGTCTCTACCAAACTCATTATGAGTCCAAAAGAATCATCCTTTAACCCTTGAGAGTAAAAAAAACAAAGACTTTTAGCTTTCTTCAACCGTCGTCATCAAGAAACCCTTAAATTTCCCCAAAGAGAGGAGAAGAAACAAACCTGAAGCTCGCGGAGAAGATTATTACAAGTAGTGTTCGTACGGAAAAACAGAGCATTGGGACTTCCAATTTCCAGCATTTTCAGCTAAAATTTCGTCTCACTCTCTCAGAGTTGGAATCTTCAATCAAAAGCAAAAAGCTTTTTGGGTTATTCTTCAAAAAATGGTGCTTAATCGAACAAGAAAGAGACAACTACTTGCAGAAAACAAGCATCAGATCTGAAGCTTGAAGATGAGACAAACATTTATGAAGCTCCTCTCAATTACTTGACTTTGGCAGAGGAAAGAAGAACAAAAAATAAAAACAACACAGAGAGAGCAAAGTAAGAGAGAAACAAAGATAATAAATTTTGCTGAATTAGGCTAAAAGAAAAGGAAGGGAATGAACAGAGAGAAAAGAACAGGTAGCAACAGAGAAGAGAGAGTTTAAAAAAATAAAACAATAATGAGCTTCTTTTAAATTCCGGTTATTACAGGATTATATATTATATCATTCATTGTTATAACGTTACTATAATTTTATCATTATACTCTATACTCTAATACAAACTTTATTATATAATTCTGTTTCACGGAAAAATACGATTAAATTGGCGAAAAGGCTGACGACGGGTACGGTGCGGGTGAGTGTGCCAGACGATAAGCGCGTTGCCGGTAAGGGAGCGTGGAGGATACGTGCCAATTAGAGTAGAAGGATGAATGTGACGCGAGTTATGAGAGAGTGTGTTTTGTGTGTTTCTGGTGTCGTCTAGTGGTGATAGAAGAAGAGTCACTGACATAAGTAGCTGTGTTTTTTGACGGTGAAGTGTAAACTTTACGATAAATATTTTCTTTATTAATATTTACTATTATATTCTTTACTGCATATCTTTTTTTTTAACATAAATTTTAGTGAATACTTTTATGTAAATGATTTACAAAAACAACTTGTGAATTTAAAAAAAAAAAAACAAAAATTGTATAACGTTTGTAAAATTTGTACAGTAATTCGCTTGTTTTTTTACCAATTGTTCAAGCAATTTTACTGTTCTGGAAATATGAAATTCATCTGACATGTTAGAGAACAGAGAATATATTTAAATTCTATAGCAAATTAGGTAGACAATAATATGTATATGATCTCAACAGAAGTTTGATGAGAAAATATAACAATACATTTTATACAACTGCATGAAAGTATGTGCATATATTTTATTTTATTTTGTATGATAGACAATCTTTCATATTCCAAAGGTAACATTAATATGAAGTCAAATATATAATATTATTGTTCTACTGATAATTGTTACTATCTACACTATTAGCATAAAAACTTATGATTAACAACCAAAACAATAATCATGAGAAGAAAAATTATACCACAAATGGGGAGGACAGAGACTTGTATTGTTAATTAAAGACGATAATGATACGATTATGTACCCACACCTTTAATAACAAGAAAGATGCCAATTTGGTCTAATCAAAAGGATGGTCGTCACTCATTACCTCTCTTCTCCACCAGTTTCATCAATATAAAGTTGAACTCCATTTTAAAAAAATTTTAATTAACAACTTCTGTTAGTATCCCATTCCCATCCAAACATAATTATTGCTCTCTATACCAACTAATCAAGCTGCAAATCATTATATCATTTACATATTTACCTACATGATAGTTTTATATAAAAGACTAACGATCAAGTTTAATAATTCTTAAGATTGCCATTAAAAAATAAAAAATTTATAAGATTAGTATCAGTATCATTTTACCAAACATATTCAACGTTATTTTTAAATGGTTAGAACTTAGAATATACTTACACAAGGAAAACGACATTACTTAGGTTAAATGAAAATCAAATTGAAATTTCAGCTACCACATAATCAAGGTTTTAAACATAGTTCTAAGTTCTACTTCTAACTAATAAATTTTCAAGAATTACAAGCCAAATTTTGTCATTAGATTTTTATTGTTTAGTCTCTGAATGATTTTTAAATATAATAATATATACATCTATGTTTTTGAATTAAAATCAAAATATGGCAAAAATATTATAAACATAAAAAAAAGAAAAAACATTTAAGGTGGTTGAAAAAGAAAAGAAAAAAAAAGACAGTAGAATCTGTTCAACTTTAGGTGGGGTAATGAGATTATTTATACGGTCCATGCATTTATACAATAAATCAATAACCTTAAGACTTATTTGTATCAATTAAATTCTTTGATTATATCATTAACAGAAGGATCTTATACTAATGGGAGTAGTTATACATACGTCTCCCAATCATAAATTTGTGGTAACTTGATAAAACAAAAAATTGACACATAAACAAACAATGTTTAGGAAAACATTTGTTTTGTTTCTGTATCACCCCAATTTAATACCGCATGTGTGGGAGACTGAATATTAAAAAGTCAACGTCGTGCTGGATACAGTCTTGATACGATTATGAATAAACATGATCACTTCAAAAAGAAAATTCTCATATATATAAAAAGAAAATGTACTTAATTAGTTAATCATATTATTCGTTTTATATATATGAGATATGTACCATGAAAGTATAATCAGAAAGAATTATTCATCAAAAAGTAGGTAATAAAATCACTATAATCACTATAATAATGTGATAAACCCCTTAGGATGCCACTGGGATTAAGTGGCTAATCATTCCATCTAATCATATTACTTATCTAGTGGTTGGATTTTATCATCGACGTGGCACACCCAATTCACAACTCAACAATCCTGAATTATTGGTTGTTTGAATGAATATCAAACAAACATTAAAATTCAAAGACTCTCATTTTTGGAAGGGTCAAACACTTATTTTTATTTTAAAGTTTTTTGTTACAGCACACAGCTGATCACTTTTGTTTTTGTGTAATGTAATAGTATATATTACAGTGAAGTTAGGATCTTTCTACTATGGAAAGCTTACAAACAAACAAAAAATCTATAAATGCCAAAGTGAAATTGGTTATATCTATCTTTATTTTCACATTTTGTTGTCTTTTCTATATTGTCAGCATTAGTTATTTGTCTTTTATGTTGGTGAGATTTTTCGGGTTTAATAGTGAAAAAAAACTAATTATATGAGGATATTTGGAGAAGACAAAGGCTAATATGGTACAGTAAGGACATATATTCAGAGTTAAAGTACAGCCAATATCATTTAGGAGATGCATAATAAATTTGCATATTTATGTAGGTGAAATAAAAATTATTTTAGATCTAGTAAATCACATGCTTGGTACGTCTCAGCGCAACCGTCATAAGCATTACGTATATCACTAGATCCCCATGTGTTACATTACGTATATCGATTAATCTACCCTCATATAGTAACACACGTCATACGAATTTTGTAATTCTCCAACTCAGTCATTCTACTTTATGAAAGGTCAAAATTATGTACCAAAACGTGAGTGGAATTTATATTTAACGATGAATAATCTAGTTTGAAGGCAAGAAAAAATTAATTTTAAAAGTAGGAAAATGCATCTATGATATGATGTGTATATATAATATGTACTTACTTCTATATGTATATAGACCCTACATGTCCTTTATATCTTCAAAAATATATATATGCACTTTATAAACTTTAAATTGTGTTAAGAAAGAAAAAATAAAGAAGTAGAAGAAGTAGATAAGAAGGGATTAAAGATGCGTGCATGTGTACCTGTAGGGTTTAAGGGGAGAGTTTTAGGAAGGGTGAGAGTAAAGGACATGAGCAAGTATGTATCCAACAAGCTCCACCACTTCCTTTTCTTCCTTGTTTGTCACCATTTTCACTGCCAAAACAAAACAAAATTCATAATCACATAATATAAAAAAGAGTTATAAAGAGACAATTTCAGAAGGCAGCCAGAAATCAATACTCAAAAGAACTCCTTGGAAACTACTCCTAACTCAACAAACATCTTTGGTGTACAATTTTGGTTATATTTTATGTATGAACCTCCTAAACAAACAAACAAAAGAATCCAGCTTTAAGTGAAAGCAAGAAACATAAAATTATAAAATTGAAAATTATTTTTACGGAAACAGACACTCTTTTGGAAATGGTTTTATGGAGACAAAAACTTTTACAGAAATAGCCAAATAGGTGGTTTTGTGGACATTCCATTAAAACTATAAACTGCTTACAGTAACTTATAATAATGGACGTTTTTGATCTATTGCAAAAATTTCAAAGATACTTAAATTTGAAGTAGTTGTTATTTCACAACCCCTTATCCATTTTCTTTAATAGAACTGAAAATGAAAATGAAAATGAAAATGGTAGGTCGAAGTAGGACCGATAATATTGATGAATAAGAAAACTATATATCCCCTCCCTACTCATAAAATTCAAGATCATCATTGCCCGCAAGTCTTAAATTATTGTTGTTTCTATTCGACTCATGAGTAGATTATAACAGAGCCATGTAACACAGAACCAGAAATAAAACTATGTCTAGTGCCTATCCTCTCCTAACCTTAGAAACCTCACCCTACTTCTTTCTAGTTTCGACAATGGTCCCTAAAAATACGATAAGCCTAACATTTTTAGCTTTATAGTAAAGACTCAAACCACATGGGTTTCTATAAAAAAACGAGTAGGTGAAAGATTTAGACATGAATCATCATCTCTTCTAGAATTTGGTATTGTCTGAACTGAAAGAGTTCACTGTTTGTTACCATGAAATGTAAAAACTTAAAAAAGGCATTATAGAGAAAAATCTCAAAAACGATGTAGTGTGGACTCCATCCATAAATGAAGAAGAATAAATTTTGGAGAGGGACCCTTTAAAATAATAAAAAATAGACTTTTCTTCGTTCTCTCTTTTGTGTGTGTGTGTTTGTGAGTGTATTACAGCTATAATTCCATGAAAATGAGGTATGGTTTTTCAATAGGAAAAAGGGAAATGCTGACGTTTGACTAGTGACTTCTACTATTACTGTCTCCTATATCTATCTATACGGTCCGGTACAATATTTGAGTGGCCCGGACCGGAGATATGTTAGGTTTAGCGAAATATTATGGACCACAAAAGATTTGATTGGTCCGTAAACCGTATATGGCCGGTGGTCAGAACTGAATAAACTGGTATAAGTCAACCTCGATGGCTTATTATCATCATAATATGTATTAGGTGAGGAGCATACAATGTCCAGGTCTAAGGGGCAATATGAAGACGACCTTGAGGTGTGAACGAGGTACTCTTTTGTGTGATGTTGAAATGCATAGTCAAAGGAGCACATTGGGCCTTATTATGCTTATTTCTAACTAATTCGGTATCCTATGACTTGATTAATCTAAATCTATCATTGCTAAAAGTAAAATGCTTTTGATGGAAAGAGCAGGAGAATGAATGCTTACCCCAAGGCAGAATAGGGAACTCGTACAGCTGTTTTGGCACTGTTATTATGTAAGAAGACACCTGCGCTCAAGAGAAGAACATAATTTAGCTTCCTTTTTGATGTATATAATTATTTAACTAGAGGCTAATGGAGAGCAATTACATTACCAAAATGGAAGCAGCCAAAGATTTTGTAGATTGATAAAGAAGGGATGTCTCCTCTTTCTCGTAAAGAAGATCCATCATGTCCATACATGCTTCAAAGTTCAAAAGTTCCCCAACCTTAGCAACTTCTCTATTAGAAGAAAATAGGGTTTAGGAGTCAGATAATAAAGACATGGACTAACACAATATCGTTCAATTTATGAAATTTCAAGAAAAGCTTCAAGGGTTTAGATACTTGATAAGGATGAAACAACTTACTTGAACTGTATAAAAAGGTCTTCAAGCAGCGTATAAGCTATATTTAGAGTCCCAATGTCAAATTTCAAAACCTGCTTCTCATGTACAATGAGGACGCCAAATAATAAGTTCGAATAAGCTTTCTATAGCACAAACAACATCCCCAAGTGTAGAATGGTTACCCTCAGAAAAACAAGTTCCTGCAAAAGATCCTCATAACTCACTACAAAAACTAAAGCATTCAATTCACAATTTTAAAGATTTTCAAGAGCAGCTTACCGCATCCACAAAATCCCGAACCATGAAGAGTTGCTCTGTAATCACTTTATCCCCAAAGGATTTCAGACTATGAACCGATAAACCCCGGGTACAATGCATCTACAGAAGCAAACAGTTCAGTTTCTAGGTACTCATATAAGAGAACAAACACACAAAAAGACTATCAGGAATAAGGAAGTAAGAAACCCACTTTGCATGAGATCCAAATGGAGACCAACACAAATAGCTGCAGATTGCTTTCAGTCAGAGGTTGCAATAGCCAATGCTCAGCTTTCTTTTTCTGTAAGAACCTATATAAACCCAAGTATCCACAGTCTTTTAGATAGACATCCATAGAAGAATCACAAACAATGACATAATGCCTAAATGTTCATCATATTCCAAAATCCATCAAACAAGATTTGATCCAAAGCACAAAAACCTACTAGTTTAGTAGCAATAAGGCAGTCAAATACTTATAAACATGATTCAGAAGATAATAGCTGATCCAAATCTACGGTATCTGATACGAAACTAATCCAATCAGAAGCAAAGGATCCGAGCAATTTCGCCGATTTGATTACTGAATTCCAAATTCGAACCCTAAAAACAATCGAAATCACTAGAAATTCTCAAATCGGGAGGGTAAAAATCGTGATACCTGACTACAGAGGGACGAAATCGATCGAAGAAGAGTGATAGTGCTGAGTATTTAACAATCGGAGGAAGTTCGAGTTGCTTTCATCGCCAAAATCAGATCCAAAAACAAACAAAAAAATCAAAATCAGAAGTGAAAAAAAAAACTCAAAAGATACGATTGAGAAGAAGATGAAGATTAAACTTACAGTAGAAGAATAAATCAGGAACTCGACCAATCTCCGTCGTAGTTGAACGATCTCTGTAGACATCTCTCTCTCTCCCCGAGATTTTGGAGCTCCACCGTCAAAATTTTGAACGTTTCAATGGCGCTGAAACTCGAAACGCCAATAACTCTCAAATTAGCCTCACGATAGGTTCTGGGATGGGCCTGGGCTCGTTATCTTAAATTGGCCCAAAACATTGTTTTAAATTTTTTTATACACTACAACGGTCCATTTCTTTGTTGGTAACGAGATGTTCTGTATTTTTTATAAAAGGGATTTCATATTTTCAATAACAACGATTCATTTGTTTATTGTTAAAGAGATATTTTGCGTTTGTATTTTTCCCATTTATACTAAAGAAAGTTCAATTCAAAAATTAACTTTAATATTCATATTAGATGTTATCCTATTTCCAACAACTAAAAATTTTGGCAGAGACAAACGACAACAACTCATATATGCATTTACTAAAACCACTTGCCATTATAATTAACAAAACCATATCTATTTGTTTTGTGAAAACAAGATAAAATAAAATATATTTGTTTTATTAATTAGTATAAAAAATGCCCCAATTGTTCATGCTCCAAGCCTCATGTCCACATATAATGCCAATTGCCAAAGTAACCAACCATATGGCTTGTTCATCTTCTATTCCTAATTAAGTTTTGTTGTTGTTGTTGTTAAAGTGTTGGTCATATATATATGTATGTTATTGCATGGGAAAGTCACCTTTCCATATAACTTAATTAAGTTATAATTTATAGCCAAATGAATGGTCCAGTGATATTCTTGTGGTTGATCATTCGTTTTACTATATGTGATATTCTTCATTGGTATAGTTCTTTTTAAAAAGTGTGGTCGAGAATTTGAAGTGTATATACAAATATATGACCGCGACCGTATGGTTGTTGAACTGCATATATGTTTTGCATATATATTCTCGAATGATATTTTACCATACAACTGTCACTTATCGTCAAGATTTGCATATTTATACAAATATCTCACAAAATCCTATATTATAGATTCTTTTATTACAAGATGCTAATTAAGAACAAAAATTTATAAAACCAAGACTTTATGCATATAAGCTTTCTAAATTTATATACTATAACTATAGTTGTGTGTATTATATATGTGAACAACTGATCACAACTTACAAGATATATCACCCCAGCTAGTTAATATATATAAACTACGTAGATATCCAAGAGTAGTCTTTTGAATCAACGGCAACTGTGTCTTCAAATCTGTCCGAGAAAAAGAAGTTACGAATCTTTTTACCACGCCTTATAACAGTAACTTCTGCGGTGAAAATTGCTTTGACAGGTCTATGATCAGATATCTTCGTTTCTCCTCTCGTGTATTCATGTTGCTTCAGTCCACCTCCGTACCATATTATTCGATCACACCTAATATGTGCATGCATGTGATCACTATATATGTAATGAAACCTATTTTATGATATGGAACATGCATGCATGCATAAGTGCTATATACTTACCATGCAGGAGCTCGTTTCTTCTCATCTTTTTTGTATGTAATGCACCCATAATATAAATCCGAATTCGGAATATATTTATAAGTTGGAGCGAACTTGACAATTCCTTCTTGCCATCCTTTGAAATTCTGGCCGTTCAAGATCTCCATGCTTAGCTTAATTTTATATAAATTAAAAAAATATAAGAAAAAAATGGCAAATTCACAAATTTTAACACATGAAATTACATTAAAGTATACAACTACATTTATAATTACCTGATCATTTTCTAGTAAGATGTTCCATTCTTTGCTTTTCACCAATAATCTTGTCTTATCCTCGGGTAATGAAATTCTATAATTCAAGTCTCCCAAAAAAATAACTCGACTGTATAAATTGATCCAACAAAGAGAAAACAAAAAAAAAAGTTTAAATTAGTTAGATTATATAAACAAGAAGTACCACTAGTTGGGGTAATTTCTTAACAAGCACTTACCTAGCAAACCAACTCTCTTTTTGTTCTTCACAATATCAAGTCTTATTATATTTAACCGGTCAACTTGCTTAAATTAATATTAATTTTGGTCTGACCTAATTATATAATTAATTACTAACAAGTTGTAAAAACTATAATTTACACAGAAGTATATGAACCAAGTGTTATTAAATTCTTTTCAAGATTAGCGGTTATATTAAAATAAATATAAACTTACTCGTGATCAAGAATCTTTTTGGGTAAATCGAGAGATGAGCCTCGAGGAAAACTCGATCTTGCTAAGATCTCGTTGACATCGGAGTTTCTTTGTCTCTCATCTCGGTCACGGCCACCAGAAGCTAGATGGCAGCAAACAAAACAGAAGCTCGTCTCGTGCAATTGAAATCTAACCGATACTGATCCCTAATGATAAAAGAAAAAAATGTAAAAGAACTTGATTAATTTAAACATCTGATTTCTTCAAATAAATTATGGTGTAAGTGTGATAACCAAAGACAACCATTTTCATTTTAAAAAGCAAATTTTGGTGCTTCAATATTTGGCACAAAACTCACACATGCTAACCCTGAAGTTTAAAATATGTTTTCGTTCGGTGAAATTAACTAACGAACTATTAATTAATTATTATGTGTTATATATAAATCACAGTCGTCAAACTTGCATTATGTTAATTTAATAATATATAACTATACGTTCAATTTCAACCACTAGTTAAAATAATCAGTTGTGAATACAAATGCGAACGCACGTAATCATTTTCTATTAACAGTCAACACCTAAATCTGTCGACATCTATAACAGTGAGATTTTTTTGAACTGAAAAAAAATTTAATAATAATAAGAAGAAGAAGAAAAAATATACTAATTATAAATTCTAAAAATAAGTTACCTTGTTTCCTAAGCAACCCATGATGCCGCATCCAACGCATGAAACGCTAGGATGCTGGATGTATGGCCAGAGATCACCTCGGACCCAAACGGTGATCAATATTCCGACCATCTGTTTACTTATGATACATCTGAAATCTTGTGCAATACTATTGATGCCCTTTGATTCCGACAAGTCCTTGTCTCGATGAGGTTCTGCTACTGCTCTCTTGTTCAAAGTCTCTCTTATCAAGGAGTTCCATTTTACAGAGACTTTGTTGTTATCTGATCCCAATACATTCGAAGCTCGAAGAGGCACAACTTCTTGAAACCTAGATTTTCTTAGGAATTTAAAATCCATACGTTCATATCTAAATAAATTTAATTTTATATAGTAGAGTTCATTAATTACCCAAGCACGTATATGTCGCTCGGTGTTTTGTGTGTTTCCAATAGATCATCCATGTCAAGCCCATCGTCCGGTACGATACCACCAACGTTCCATGTGCTTACAAAAACCCTAAAAAGAAATAGATTAATTTTACATTAATAAACTTTATAAAAAAAAGTACGAATTTTTTAGAAATTTTTTGTCAAACGTCCCACTTAGTATAAAAACATTATTTATTAATTTTGTAAACTCATGAATAATAAGGGATCAAACTAAGATTCCCTTGAAATCCAATTTTAGACTTCAGTTGCCATCCATATGTTGATTAGCTCTACTCATTTCGCGTATTCGGAATTAGGTTTAAATGCCGTGCAATGCAAGAAAAGTGGCTAGTTATATATAAACAAAGGGTATATAAAGTTATATATATGTATGTATTACTTGTAGTTGAGATGAGTAGTTTTGTGTTGCTCGAGTAGAATTGATTTAGAAGTGAAAGAAGGTCGTTCATCAACTAATCCGGACGCTTCGAGAAGCTTCTGATCGGTATCAGGTGGGAAATCAGCGACGAAGTTGTTGCTCCCGACGCTTTTCCTTAGGATCTTGTTGGCCACAAGTCTTGGCCACATAACCTTACCAATACCACATAATAATTTGCAATATATTAATGATCAAGATTCAAAAGAGAATAATTATATATATGTTATAAGTAGTGTTTTCGGGTTAATCCGACGAGTATATAGTTAAAGATACGAAAGACTCACTTCTCTGTTGCTTCCAAGCATTGCTGGAGAGAAAGAGAGAGATGGACAAAAGAACAAGAGATAGAAAGATGAGAGAGAGGTTTATCAAGAAGCAATGGAATTGTAGATGAAGTATAATAAGTAAGGGAGGGAGAGGGATAAGGAGAAAGAAAGAGAGCCATGCAAAGCCGGAGAGAAAGAGGTGAAAATGTGACGTGGACGATGATTATATTATACTACATAGTTTTTATAACCATTTTAATAATTTGTCCGACGATATTATTGAGTTTTTTTTTTACAAGAAAAAAATCCAAAGAAATGAAGGTTGATGATTGGTTAGTTATTATTACTGGTTGTTGGACTCGTTAGACATCAAACCACTTTGATCACATTGTATACGTCTTTAAATCCCACAGAAATTAATATGAAAACCAATCAGTTTTTGTCCTTAATTGTATTACTTTTAAATTAAACACAGAAAACGATTACCTTTTACATATTTAATAGCGAAGAGGGTCCAACTTGTTACTATTTTTATCATTGCATATTAAAAATTAAGTGAAGATATCATGTAAACTGTTTTGTAATAATGAAAATGACAAAATTAGCTGGCTATGTATAATATGAATTAATAAAAGCAAACATTATGTTTCCTCTAATTATAGAGTTCTACTATTTTGGTCTTTTGAAATCTTATCGTTCTTATGTCATAAGCTTTCTTATAGCAGAGAAAATTAAAATATTGTTCCTTTTTGGTCGGTCTAATCACTGTGGACCGCTAAATAATTTTATTCAGAGGTATTAATTTTGATATTAGTTAGTTTGAATTCATTTTTTTATATTAGGCTTTTAAGTTTATAATTGTGAGCAGCTAGCTAATTACTCCACCTATAATTGCTAGTGGTGTTCATAATTGTATGAGCAAATATTCGTCGTATTAATTTGGTGCTGTGTTGTAACTTGTGAGTCATACTACTATATATCAGTTGGTCTTTTAAAGCACATGCATGCATGACACTGCAATAGTATCCAACCTAACTAAGAGAGAGCAAGTGAGCAATAACAACAATAACTATGGTTATGCAAATCGTATATGTACAAACAAGTGGGTTTAGGTACTTTTGCATAATAAATTTAATTTCCCAAATGGAACAGTAGCAGTGCAGGCTTACTATTCGAATTCGTTATTTTGTTATGTGGACGTCAAGAACTTACAAACTTCTTTTTTTAAAACTTGATTTATTAAAACATTTTGCAAACCAAACAGACAACTAACTTATATATAGTATGATTTATCGTAATTTTGGGTATTTTGAAAATAATAGATCACTAACCTATACGAGAACCATCTTAACCAAAAAAGAGAAAAAGAATTATTACGGTGTTTGTAATCAAGTGGTCTCTTGTTAGTGGGATAGGGATCAAGATTTCAATTCTAGGTGAGTTGATTACCATTAATCATGGCAATATTTGGTTAACGGCTGTGATCAGTTGAAAATATTATAAATTTGACCAAGAAGATATTGTTACTCGAATAACCTATGGAGCAAGTTGCATGAAAAACAAAGTCTTGGCCTCTTGGGTATGGAACTTGCACTTTTGTAGTGCAGCCAACAAAATAACCATATATGTCTAACTGGATTCAACCATTCTCAATGGTGTCTCCACGGAAGCTATATTTATTTATATAAAAACTACATAATTCAAAAAGTAGCTATTCTTTTGATTTTTTTAAAATGAAGTAATATTTTACATTTACACACTTTCTAAAAAGAAAGAAATAATGAGGTGTGAGCAAGATTTGAGAAAAGTGTTTTAAAGAAGTGTGAGCAAGATTTGCTCGAATTGTATTGTATCCGTTACAACTTTTGTAGACAAGTAAGAATGAATCAAAATGCAACACGTGGCATATAATTGTATGCCTAAAAGAATATGACATTGTTTATGATGGTGGTCCACGTGTCGTCCTTTTATTTGTTTTCTGTTAAATAGTTTATAATTTATCCCATTATGTACATAGTTCATATTTTGTTAATTTTTTTGTTACAAAAATAACAAATTGTCTATTATTTCGTCCATTGGGTTCAGTACTATATTAATCAGTATGTTTAGCGTGTGATAAGATTATAAACCTGTAATAGCTTTGAATTTTCTTTTATCGAAGCTTCTATCTTATTTCAACTAGTATTGTTTTGGTAATTTTAACCAAGCAAATACATTTTTAAACATTTTTCTGACCAAAAGAATAAAATAAAATCAGGTTGTGTCTTGACAATTGGGATTCCTATAAAGTTGGAATACAATTAAAATCGCGAGGTGAGGGTTTGGTAAATATTGTTTTTGCGGCATGTCCATTATTATTAATAACCAATGATTAATAATTAATTATAAAGATAATCTTAAGAATTGTTGGCCTTCTAAAAGGTCAAAGATTCCTATTTTTGTCTTTTTATTTTCTATTTACACATTGACTTAGTGTAGTATACTGTATATGCAAATGTATATTAAAAGAATAACTCAGTAGTACGGGAAAATTCCTATTATACACGAATATATGATAAAATTATAATATTAGTATATAACATAAAACGAGAGACAACTAATCGTACTACATATTTTATTTAGTGAGTTTTTCATCAATTTAAATAGATAAGATATATATATATATATATATATATATATATATATATATATATATATGTATAGAGAACTGAATCTCATTGGCTGGTCGGTGAGAGTTGTATTGCGATTATAATCATATACCATTTCTTCCTACCAGCCGAGAGGATATTAATTAGATGAAAAAGTGCAAATACTTTTAGAAATAATTATTCCATATATCTTCTTCATCTTTTGTCCAATTAAAAATACATAAAATACCGATATTGCATCACATTTTAACTTCTCTTCATTAGTTCCTAATTATTAAAAATATAAATTACTAATAAGAGGTCGACAAACTTGCATAAATTGTTATTAGTGGTTTAGCTAATTAATATTAAATACATTAATATTTAGGGACCATTGGGACCATAAGTTCTTTTTAGGTAGGATTACCTTTTTTCTAAATTAAGCTAGATGACTACGTACTCTTCGTATAAGCACTTAGATTTTTGTTTGTTTGTTTGTTTACTATACATGTTTTAATTTGGATTGCAAAAGTTGGAATTAGTCTTGTTTTCTCTTTCGGTAATGAAATTTACTTTGAATTTGGTTGTAACTTACGTTTTCATTTCAGTTTGATTCGGATGGGTATGAGTGAAATCGAGTGGAGATCAAATTCAGTTCAACTCAATGAACGTTAGCCAAGACAAGTTGGTATTTGGTAATATAGTTTTTCGTGGAAGATACGTTTCAACGTGCTTCTAGAAAATTGGGCTGCTAATGGGCTTCATCTTTTATTAAATGGCCTGCTAACATGCATCTAAACAAATTGGTTTCCACGCTTTCATTGCTACTTATATATTTAACTAGTTGTTGATCCGCGCTGTACGCGGAAGATTTATAATTTATATTATGATTTTTTTAACGTTTTTGTTGGTTTTTTACTGTTGTCATTTTTGTTATTTTATTTTCATATGGATTGTTTTTTTTTTCAATTTTGTATTTGTTTAGTATTTAAAATGTTTATTGTTATTTGATATTCGCCAGAGGTCTATGGCAAGTTTCTGCGGTATTGTCTCTTTTTGCAAGGTATGGGATTAGAGAGATACTGTTTCCGATGTCTGGTTTTGATCTATTCCATGATAGATGTTCTTGGATCTACCTTGTTTTTGGTTTCTTCATATGCTTAAATATGTGTACTCTGGCCAATAGTTTCAAAATTGGTGCATAGCTGCAAAGGAGTTGTTCTTGTAAACAACGGTTCTAGTAGATGTTTTCCGATCTATCCTTAACCGGTTTGATTGTTGTATCCGATGTTTAACTATCCAGTTCCAAATTCGTGTATCCGACATGTTCTCGATCTTTCTTAATCGGTTTGACTGTTGTGTAACCGTTGGACCTCAAGCTCATGCCCTTTTGAAATTATTAATAATTTTTATTTAAAAAAAGTTAATGATGTGGCGCTGATGTGGCGGAAGGAGAAGAGAGGAAAGGTAACTTTATATATATAGATAGATACTTAATAGTAATTTTTGAGTTTCAAAAAAATAAAATAAAAAAAATAGTAATTTAAAATGTTTAAAAGATATTAATATATCTTTTTTAAATAATTTAAAATAACATATAAACGAAAATAACAATTAAACTATATTAAAAATATTAACAAATATAATACTGTATTATATCATCAATTCTCAAATATTTCTACACCAAAAATATTAATATTGCATTGGTGATAAATTCAACAGATCTCTCCTACTTTCACCAATACACATGCTCTAAGTCTCACGAGCCTTCCCAATCCGACCAGTGAAATCTACCGTTGATATATCCAACATACACTCTTTGAACACCATGCTTAAAAATTTTGTTGTTTACAACACGTTCCTAACGTTGTGTTTGTCGACTTGTAATTCTCAAGATAAGGAATCTAAGAGATAGCCTCCGTGATTAATTGTTTGAAAAATAAAATAAAAAGCCTTCATGATTAATTCTGAATGAATAAATGGATGAACATGTTGGAATTGTTGCTGCAGAAAAATGGTTTAAGTTGTCAAAGGGTATAAGTTCTGATCTGAACACGTTACATTAAATTTTCTATGGTCTTAATTAGTTTCACTTTTCTTAACTGTTATGTTATGTTATGTTATAAATCCATTTACATTGATGAGGGTACTAAAGTGTACGCGACCAAAGCCACCGAAAAGAAAATGGCAAATATCAGTTGTAAATCAAATGTCAATTATAGAGATTTGTTTGGTGGTTATTTAACATGACAATACGTGCTTCACTCATGCTGAATTGAGATCATATGTATATGTTTATGTGTACTAGTAATCATCACCTCTCTTTCCCTCTAATTATTTTATTGTTTATGTGTGTTATCACTTACTTTTTTTTTATGTGATGTGATTTGAAGTGAAAAATTCCTTGAGAACTACACTAAAAAGTCTTCTAAAGAGCCAACTTGATATGTCTAAGAAAACTAGTTGTGAGTTGGTAAAAGACTTGAGAGGATATAAACAGCTTCTTTGAGTTTTGAAGATGTCTTGGGCCATATCGTCAAGTTTTCAACGTTATGATTTGTGTATAATTTACTATAATCATGGAAAACGATCGATTTCTCCACAAATTAGTATTTATACACAAAATTTTAAATCGTGGTTATAACTATGTGAACTTAAATAATTATAAATTTTCTACATAAAAATTTCAATCCGATCAAATCCATTAAATTGGTAAACAATATTATTGTTCCGTCAACAAATACTGACTAAGATGCCACATAATGCGATGAAAATAACGTTATTTCTTTTTAGAAGGAAAAAAAATTTGTGATAATATTATAGGGTAACGAAATGAAATAATTAAGTAATTAGTTTTACACCTTAATTTGTTTTATATCTTATACGTTCATACTCGTGCGTGATCATCATTCTAAAGCCTAGAATCTCATTTGAGATTTCGGGTAGATCCGACATCATCTATACGTGGATGCTATTTATTTGAGCATATATGTATGAATGTATTGTCATCACACCTTTATATATGCGATCTTAAAAATAATTGACAACATTTTGGAAGTTTTCGTCGATCGGACTCTCACATGCAATTTGGAATTTTTGTAGTCGACGCTTCTTGGATTTTGTCAAGATAAGAAAAACACAAAGATCAGTTAATAATTGAAAATCTATGGTATGGGTTACCATTCGGCTTAGGACACCTCATATATATGGTGGAGTAAATTTATATATACATCGTTGGTAAATTGATATCTTATAACAATAGTATTAAAATCCATGCAATTTCCAAATATTTAGGAACAATATATGCAAATGTCAAATACACATGTGGAACAATACATGCCACATCACATAAATATATTTAACATTCACGCCTAATTTTTTTCGTCCACCGTCCCTTTTACATTGACGTGTACATTGTTACTAAAGTCCATTTTAATTAATTTGAGGGGTTAAGTACGTATGATGATAATAATATGTTCTTGAAACGTTTAAATCGCCAAGAAAAACAAAACCTCTCACAACTATTACATTCTTTTTTTTCCTGTTTTTTTTTTTTGTTTTTTTTTTTTCATTTCTTGTCCACATAAGGACTAGCTATAAATACACAAAGCCAGAACAAATCCACCATCACCCCCTTACAATATTTTTGTTGTTTTCTTTCCAAAGTCTCTCGATGGATAGGTTGAGAGCTAAGCCCATGGAATTCATATTTTCAGTTCTCTGTATTATTGTTATATTATTCGTCTGTAATTCAACGGCGGAGCTACCACGGTTTGTCCAAACGGCAAAACCCGATGGTACGCTCAGTTTTCTCGTCGTCGGCGACTGGGGAAGAAGAGGTTCTTATAACCAGTCTCAAGTAGCTCTTCAGGTACGTACACCATAAGTTTGTGTGTGTATGTAGAGATGACCTTGTTTAGTTGTTTATACCTTGTCTGTAATTAAGCTAATTTCATGTCTTTTATGGTGTAATTAGAATACGTTAAGCGAGATGACGAAAATGGTAAGATTAATCATAGATATTAGTGTATTATATTATTAGAAGAACCGAGAAGCGTGTAGTATTATGTTTTCTTGACGTCAAATGCATCGTTTGAGTAAATTACATACGAATTAGTTATTGTTGTAGACTTGTGTAGTAAATAAGTAATCATTTTCTTATTATAGTTTGTAATACTGATAATAATACATTAATACTCACTGAGTAGTGGCTTGAAAACGTGTTGTGTCGATTCGTATTAACAAATAAAATTCTGAATTAGAACAAGAATATAATGAGTGAGAGATTTTATGGGTCTATGGCTTAGATAAGGCTTGTCCTCCTTTTTCCTAAATTATTGTAACCTTGTTTTTTATTCTTTTTTGCCAAGGTTACTTTTGTTTTCATAAGTATTGCATTGTTGTAAAACCTAAACCTTCATTTTTAAATGATATTTATAAGTTTAGTAAAAAGAAAGAAAGATGAGAGGATAGTAATATTTGAGGCAGAACTTTTATTTTTTTTAATCCGAGTTTGAGAGGATAATAATATTTGTTAATTAGGGAGATAGTAATATTTTTTAATTAAGGAGCAGTGAAGGTGATGTTGCATACATAATCTTTGGTTTAGTTACGTAACATGCGTGGAAGTAATAATCTTAAGGCTGTGTATTAGTGTTGCAATTCCACGTTATCATTTTTAATTTTGGTTGCTTCTATTATTCTACAAGTAAATGATCCTTTTGATTAAAGGAAGACAGTGATTGGAGAATTTTTTACTATTCTAATTTTTGTTTTCTTTCTTTTTGGTCAAAAATAAATTTGTGTATCATTATTATATATTTTAGTTTGTAGTGAAATGGACAATTTTGTCACACCTAACAGTTTCCAAAAACAACACATTTTTATTTTGTCTTTTTATCATTTGTTGTTTTTATAAGTCTGATTTTTTTTTTTATTATTTTCTGGTTTATACTCTACAAGTTGTCAATTATAATTTGTTTGTCATCAGATGGGAAAAATAGGGAAGGATTTAAATATCGATTTCCTTATTTCAACTGGAGATAATTTTTATGATGACGGAATAGTCAGTCCATATGATTCTCAATTTCAAGATTCATTTACAAATATTTACACAGCATCTAGCTTACAAAAACCATGGTATAATGGTACGTAAATCATAAAACTATATCTACTCTTCTCAGTTATAAAGAAAACAAATTATTCTATATTGACTCATTGGTAGACTTTGATTTTTCTCGTAGTGTTAGGAAATCATGATTATAGAGGTAACGTCTATGCGCAACTTAGCCCCATACTCAGGGATTTGGACAGCCGATGGATTTGTTTAAGATCTTACGTCGTTAACGCTGGTAAGTAAAAATACTATACCAAGAAAACAAAATGTTAATATATATGTTCTTCATTAACACATAACATTTTGTGTGTGTAGAATTTGTGGATATTTTCTTCGTGGACACGACACCGTTCGTAGATAAATATTTCGATGAACCAAAGGATCATGTCTATGATTGGAGAGGCGTATTACCAAGAAATAAGTACCTTACCAATCTCTTAACGGTAACTATTTTGTTTTCTTATTAATTTCTCTACCCTAAGCTAATTAAAATATCAAAAACATGTGATTAACATGCACCTAATCCAAATTAATATATAGGATGTGGATGTGGCATTGCAAGAATCAATGGCAAAATGGAAAATAGTCGTCGGCCATCACACGATCAAAAGTGCAGGTCACCATGGAGTAACCATAGAGCTTGAGAAACAACTTTTACCTATCCTCGAGGTAATTTTTAGATAAACTACTAAACTATGTACAATAGGAAAAAAAAAAAAAAAATAATGAAAGAATAAGTAATTGGTTTTCTTGAAAATTTTAGGCTAATGAAGTGGATCTCTATATAAACGGGCATGATCATTGCTTGGAGCACATAAGCAGCATCAACAGGTGATTAATTAACTAAACAATTTATGGATTTGTAACGTAATTAACGTTTTGTGTTTGTTTGTTTATAGTGATATACAGTTTATGACAAGTGGAGGTGGATCCAAGGCTTGGAAAGGAGATGTGAATGAGTGGGACTCTCAAGAGATGAAGTTTTATTATGACGGACAAGGTTTCATGTCGGTTTACACATCTGAAGCTGAACTACGCGTCGTTTTTTACGATGGGTTTGGTCGCGTATTGCATCGATGGAACACTTACAAAAACAGTGTTCATTCCGATATCTAATGATCGATGGTCTGATAAAGAGTTAAGACAATATTATTATTAATCGTTCATTGTTTATTGTGTTTTTTATTTTATTTCACGTGGCTTAAATTTTTTTTTTTTTTGTGATTATTTAGAGTATTTTAATACATGGAGCGTACATAAATATAGACCCATAATTTGGTCTTGACACGCATGGTTCTGGTGTCCACATTACTTTTGTTCAATTCATAATTACCATCATATTTTCACTATATACATTGATATAATATATATAATTAGTTTTGCTCATATCACATAAAGAAAGAAATCGTTAATTGTATATAGTTCTCTTTGTGATTTTAACCCCCAAAAAAAACCATATATACAATCTGATTTTTTACTCATTTAATACAAAATTCAAACAGATGTACGTACTTTACTTATATGTGTTAGATATCCCAGAAATATTAATATTAGAGATTTTCAGGGAAAGATATAAATAGAAACAAATCTCTTGATACCTAATTAAAGGTGTAATTAGTAACACGCAGCAGCATGACCCATACCTTTATTAAAAAGATATATAATATAGTAAGGTAATGTATCTTTCCTTCAAATGTGTTGACTAAGAAAAAAAAAACATCCTTGAATAAAGTATCAACCATGTTATTCTTAAGGATCCATCTATAATAATTAATTTGTTACGAAGACATCTTTCTCTCTATATATTTATATGCATTTTGTTTTGCTGAATTTACTCAAAACGAGATAAATAACTAAGCTAAGAAGAAGATGAAGATGGGTATCGGAAGGTTTAGTGTGAGTTTGATGTTTCTATGTATCTTCTTCATCAGTGGTTCTTTGTCGAAGCTTCAAAGATTGAAACATCCGGTGACCAAATCTGATGGCTCTCTTAGTTTTCTGGTCGTTGGAGATTGGGGACGCCAAGGAGAGTTTAATCAATCCATCGTTGCTCATCAGGTGCTTAACTAATATCAGTTACTTTTTCAATATCTAGTTTAGTGGTTTGCATTTGCATCCGATCACCACCGAGTTGAAACATACTACTTTCATTGTATATGGTTCTAAACTTCGAATAACCGGAAAATACTACTTAGTGGCAATTATGTGGTCATGAAAACTATACAAAAGAATGAACACTAATTTTCACAAAGAATATTCGGATATTTCATGGAAACACCATTGGTCATAGGTTGTGTGATTCGTAAGATAGAATGTAATAGATATATCATATAGTATGTGTTTATATATATATATATATATATATATATTTGAGTTGAATGTAAAATTAATTCAAACCAAAAAACCTTGTTTTCACATCAATTAAGTGCAACATTTTCCTGAAACTAGTTAAACCAAAAATTTGATATACAACACTTATATGCCACGAGTCTCAAACCATTGTTGAAAAGCTTTCTTATATGTATGTGTTTATATATATAAACATAATAAATAATATATACATACACCGCCCAAATGATTAGGTTTGATTTTTGGTGAAAAGGTGTATTTAATTTAACCCGGTTATAGTTTGTTTTCTTGTCGATATAGTTTTAAAAGTTGATACACGTAACGAAAAAAATAAACATCTCAATCATCTTAAAATATGGACATAAAGTTGCGTCACCATCATTCTTGTAGGACGAAGTCATTCATTCTACGCAATATGTATACGTATGTAGACATTAAATTGAAAAAGCATATTCGTGAAAGTATACTCTTGGCTAATTAATGACGAATTGATACGCTTCATTAGAAAGAAAGAAAGCATATTCCTAATATGTAGAAAAGTGATGAAATTAAAGATGAAGGTTCTCTTGTTTTTCTTTTTGTGAATAAATGTTAAGTTTATTCAAAGAAAAACCTTTATTTACAATATATGCAACTTTGGATTAAATGAAGGTTCTCTTTTAACAAAATTAATGTAGTCATATATATGAGTCATAATGACAATAGAAGTTGAAATTTATATATATATATATATATATTTTAATTATAGTTTTAACATTTACATGAACTGAATCATATAGAACAAATCTGTTCTAATAAAAAAAAAAAGTGGTTTGTGTAATATTTAAATTTGAAAATTTGTCAGATGGGAATAGTGGGAGAGCAATTAGACATAGATTTTGTGATATCAGTAGGAGATAATTTCTACGAAGACGGATTGAAAGGAGAGACTGATCCTGCCTTTGAAGCCTCTTTCTCTCATATCTACACTCATCCTAGTCTCCAAAAACATTGGTATGCAGGTAACTTTTACTTCCTTTCTAATCAAGTAGTTCTACGTACATACATGTTTGCTCCTAGCTAGTGTGTAATCTAATATGCCTAATCAACGCGTGAGTGAGACTAAACACTCAAATGTTGTTGCAGTTTTGGGTAACCATGACTACAGAGGTAATGTTGAAGCACAACTAAGTCACGTTCTCACCCAAAAAGATTGGAGATGGTTTTGTCGTAGATCTTTCGTCTTATCCTCAGGTTCCTTTTTAAAAAAATACTTCCAATTTATTTAACAGTATATTTTCTAGTTATATATACATATACTTAGATTAATACTAGTATATTACACAGTAGAGTGCATACAAATCAATTATGTAGTAATATTTCTTGTTTTTCTTGAGTTATATTTATAGGAATGGTGGAGTTTTTCTTCGTGGACACAAATCCATTTGTAGAAAAGTACTTCACTGATCCAGGAAACCACACTTACGATTGGAGTAATGTCTTACCCAGAGATAGATACATCTCAAACCTCCTACATGTAAATACATTTTCTTTCATAATCACAATTATATATTCTTTAAGTTACTAAGTTTAACTTCTTTCATTGAAATATTAGGATTTAGATTTAGCGATTAAAAAGTCGCGTGCTACATGGAAATTTGTAGTAGGACATCACGGGATCAAAACCGCAGGTCACCACGGTGTTACTCAAGAGCTCATAGATCAACTTCTTCCAGTTCTAGAGGTATAATTATATAACCATTCATAATTATATTTTATTTTATTGTTTTCTACAATGATATAATTAAAACTATGATAGCTAAATTTTCATAATTTATATTCGTTTATTATTGAAGGAGAACAAAGTGGACTTGTACATAAACGGACATGATCACTGCTTGCAACACATTGGCACTGACGGGTAACAATAGATTCACTTGCCTCTTCTTTTGATCCAACGTTGGATTAACATGGATGATTAGGGTAATAATAGTAATTTTTTTACTGTGTTGTGTATTTGTAAAGTGAAACTCAATTCCTGACAAGTGGAGGAGGATCAAAGGCATGGAGAGGAGATGTTCAGCCATGGGATCCAAAAGAACTCAAACTTTATTACGATGGACAAGGATTCATGTCTCTTCACGTCACTCGCTCCCAAGTTAACTTCGTCTACTATGATGTTTTCGGCAATGTTCTTCACCAATCTTCATTGTCCAAAAGATCTCTTCTCCTTTAAATAATGTTTTGAATTAATTTCTATATACTGTTTATTTATAAAAGATCTATCGATGTAATGCTATATATTGAACACAATATGTGTGTAAGAGTGAGCAGTTTCTCATAGTATCTTTCTCTTGTAAACCTTGTTTTGTTTTGTTATTTCAAGTGTTAATCTCTATTTCGGTCACAACCACTTGCATCTTGTGATTGTCTTTTAGATTTAATAAAGAAAGATTGCATATTAGACCTCTAAGTTTGAAAATGATAAATATTTATGTAACTTGTAGTTCCATGATTGAAATAATTAGAGACTTCATTATTAAATTTTCCCTAACAATATGCAATTTATAGGTAATGATCCAGAACAAGAAGAAGACTAGCATCAATTTGCATGTTCCATATTTAAATTTGAAAAAGTATTGAATTTTAGCACAAACTCGATTCACGATAATACATTGGTACAACAGTTTTTTTTCTTTTGTGGATGTTATAATTTTAATCAAGTAATCAAAAAATCATTCATTTATTTAGAACTGAGAAGGATAAGCAGTAGCGTCCTCAATAATACTAAAAATAGAATAATTACATACATTAATTTTCTCAATAATATATAATTATGCTAAAATACTAACTCTATCTATTAATTTTCTTACACAATGATAATAATAATAATAAATTAGCAATGTTTATTTTGTCAAAACTTTGCTTATTAGATTTCCTAGTAAAATTGGTACAAAAAAAAAATTCCTACTAAAGTTTTTTTTTAAAAAGGCTTACGATAAAACTATTCAGAGCATGTGCAATGGAGATATTTAGGGTATCTTAAGATAGGTTTTGAAAATATAATAATTTAGTTTATTGAAAATTATGATCAAATATTAAGAAAAATGTGTTAAATTAGACATGTTTGTGGCTGTGTTAAATTAAATTTACATAAAACATCCTAATTATTATTTTAGACACTTTTTAAGGGTTTACCATTGAACAATGCTCTTATTAATCAAGCCCACAGGAGCCCATTTGCTTAGTATAAAATACATCATCTATCATCAAATCCCGTCGTGGTGTAATTTGATCTCCTCCGTGTTTTTGACGCCGGTAGAGCGAATTTGCGAGAGAAACTCAAAAAAAAAAAAAGAGAGAGACGCTAATGGAAGTAATAGAATCGAACGGTATGGCTGATTGGGAAGTATCTTTTGCGAATGCTGCGGCAAAGATCGGTCCATCAGACCTTGCGAATTACCTCGAAAAAGTGCCGGTACGTGCATATTGCAACGTGAAACTCTGATCTTAATCTCTCTCAATAAATCAGGATTTCAATTTTTGTGTTTGGGTTGTTAATAATAGGACAAGTATCCGCCTGTGCCGATGTTTCAAATATCGAGATTTCTCGATTTCTATGACACTGCACTTCCCGGAGTATCATGCCCATGGCTTGAGATGTTCAAGGATTCTAATTTGCCCAGGGTGTTCGATATGATCGATGCGAGCTATTACTTCTCTTATGTTTTTGTGTGTGAATCTATATTCTCTAGGTTAGTTTTATCGTGAGGCTGATGATGATTTTTTATATAAATAATTAAACAGGTTCCGTTATCTCATATCCCTGAACCTGTCTACCAAGCATCAGTCGATTGGTTCAACCAAAATGTTTCTGAGAGATTACGCAGTCTCTTTGTATTGTCCACATTTAATTACATTCTTTCTGCTATGGTTACACCACCAGGAAAAATTCCCGTGGGTTTTCTTCCAGTTCCAGCAGGTGTCAGCGAAGGTACTTGTCGCGATTCTAAGGTAAAAAACTTTGTCGCTTTCACTAATGTCTTGGAATGGTGTATCCACTTACCTTTGTTTTCACTAAATCAACTATGTTCTATTCTTTTTACGATTAGATGGCAATGCTTGTTACATTAGCAATGGTAGTGCGTAGCAAACCTCATGTCTTCGTTAGGGTTTTGCCCTCTCTGAGGTTGAGGCGTATGTATAAAGGACGGGGCCATATTGCGCTTACATTTTGGTTGATAGCTCAGGTTCGTATGTGTACTAGGCCCAAGTGTGTTGAAATTTTTTTTCTGTGTGATCTGTATAGCTCTAGTCAACTGTAAAATGTGGACAGGCCTCCAAAGAAGATTTATCTGTGGGCTTGCTTTCATGGGCGCATAACTTGTTACCTCTAGTCTGCAGCCATCCTCAGTCAACAGATACCGCCCTCACGTTGGTTGAGAAGTGAGTCGAAAGTTTGTTTTCTTGTGACTTCCTTTTTTGCTATATATACAGTACAATTTTCCTTTTCAGGATTTTGGCCAAACCAGATGATCAGGCCAGATTTGTAAAAGCTCCTTTCTGGGAGGGAGTGAGACTTATTCCACCTTATTCATTTGAGATCTTGCTGCGGCTTACATTCCCTGCTTCATCCGTGGTATGTTTTACTATTGCAACTTACAAAACTATAACCTTTATGCGTCTGTCGATTCTGATCACGCATGTGTGCACACAGCCTTCTACAAGTAGGTTTAAGGCAATTTATCCCTTGCTGAGAAAAATGGCTCTTGTCCGTACATCAAGAAGGCAGCCAATAGAAGAGATATTCATCTTTTCTTTGAGATTATCTGGAGAAGGTATTATCTACTAACAAACCAAACCTTGAATCCTCTTTTGCTTCCCTCTCTCTTCTCTCCAAATAATCTGTTATCTTTTTGTTGCAGGAAATACTGTTTTAGCCGAGGAAGCTAGATCAATCGCTATCTGGTCTCTTACCGTAACCAAGAGTTGCTGGAATCTCTGGGAGAATCTCTACAAAGTGAATCTAAAAGCAACTGTTGATCTTCTTAAAAAGATTGTAGGGAAATTCAAGGACGGTGTAAGTGAGAGAATGAATCAACAGATATTCACTTTTTCTTTGATGTTAGCTGGAGAAGGTATTAGTAACAATCCAATCCAAGCCTTGAGTTTTCTGCTTCCCTCTCTCTTCTCCAAATAGAGTTCTGATAAGTAACGTTGTTGGCAGGAAACCCTGTTTTACCCCAGCAAGGTACCACAATCGCTATCTGGTCTCTGACCACAATCGTTGATTGCTGGAAGCAGAGGGGCAATATCTCTGAGGAGAATCTAGAAGCTTGTGTTGCTATTCTTAAAGAGCTTGTAGAGAGATGTAAGGATCATTCCCTCAATCCATCATCATCACCAAGTTATACTCTTTCACCTTCACCAGGAAGCAAGGCATGGAAACAAATCATTCGAAAGATATTTACTCTCTCTTTGAAATTAGCTGGAGAAGGTAACTTTACTAACAAACCAAACCTTGAAAATTCTTGAGTTTTTTACGCTTCCCTCAGAAACTTCTCCAAATAGAGTTCTAATGTTTTACAGTTACAGCAAATCCTGTTTTAGCCAAGGAAGCTATAACAATCGCTATTTGGTCTCTGACTGAAAATGTTGACTGCTGGAAAAGCTGGGACAATCTCTATAAGGAGAATGTAGAAGCTAGTGTTGCTCTTCTTAAAAGGCTTGTAGAAGAATGGAAAGATCATTCCCTCAAACTATTATCATCTCCTAGTGATACTTTCACTCTTGGTCAAACTATGAAGAGCATCATGCTACAGGTTAATGATCCTTGCTCTTCTAAGCTTAACTAAATTCACCCTCCACTCAGTTGTCATTTCATCTCTGACCTAACCTGTGATGTTTTTAGAACAAAAATGCCATCGCTGGAGGAAGTGCCTTTGGTTCTCTTTACCAAGAAGCTGACAAGTCCTGCGAAGTGATCTCGTGGAGATTATCTCCTGTAAGAAGCACCCTTAAAGATACAGCCAGTACCGCTGTTGTTGTAGTTGCTTCTGTGTTTCTAGCCGCTTATGGACGTGCCCTATGTGGGCATTCGGTTTTTTGCTTTTGTTTGGGTTTCTGGTTTTATTTTTGCGGTTTTCCTGTTTTACTGAAATTGAAATCATATATAAATTTGTAATTCGGTTTGGTTACGGTTCAATTTTAATGGTTTTATGGTTTTATAAAAATATGAAACCATATGTTTCACGGTATGGTTTGGTGCACTAGAAATTTTACTTAAACTAGTGCCAATGTGTTGCAAGGAGTGATCATGTCCGGATTTAGATTTTATCTTAACTTTTTTATTGAAATATTAGGATTTAGATTTAGCGATTAAAAATTCGCGTGCCACATTGAAATTCGTCGTAGGACATCACGGGATCAAAACCGCAAGTCATCATGGTGTTACTCAAGAGCTCATAGATCAACCTCTTCCAGTTCTAGAGGTAATTATATAACCATTCATAATTATCATTTTTCAGCTACCATGTCGATTATAAACCTATAACAAATTATATAACTATTCAAAATTTTGTAATCGCTTCATCTATCTCTTTTAGCTTTGTTGATTTGATTGAGTGCATGGACCGAAATCTTTGGTGTGTTATATATGCTTCCATGTTTTTACTTTTTTTTGCCATGGAACCATTTGTTATAGGTTTATAATCTTGGATTGTAACCTAAACTAAATTTTCATTTTAATGAAATATTTACATTCTTAGCAAAAAAAAAAAATACCATGTTAATTTTATTCGTTTGTTTTGATATATAACTAAACTATGGTAAGCTTTTCATTCAAAATTGAAGGATAACAAAGTGGACTTGTACATCAACGGACATGATCACTGCTTGCAACACATTGGCACTGACGGGTAACACTACTTTTACTTGCCTCTTCTTTTGATGCAACTTAGATTAACATGGATGAATAGGATAATAATAATATTTTTTTTTACTGTTTTGTGTATTTGTAAAGTGAAACCCAATTCCTAACAAGTGGAGGAGGATCAAAGGCATGGAGAGGAGATGTTCAGCCATGGGATTCAAAAGAACTCAAACTTTATTATGATGGACAAGGATTCATATCTCTTCACGTCACTCGCTCCCAAGTTAACTTCGTCTACTATGATGTTTTCGGCAATGTTCTTCACCAATCTTCATTGTCCAAAAGATCTCTTTTCCTTTAAAACATGTTTTAAATAATTTCTATATACTGTTTATTTATAAAAGATCTATCGATGTAATGCTATTGAACACAATATGTGTGTAAGAGTGACCAGTTTCTCATAGTATCTTTCTCTTGTAAACCTTTTTGTTTTGTTATTTCAAGTGTTAATCTCTCTATTTCAGTCACAACCACTTGCATTTTCTGATTGTCTCTGGTTTAGATTTATTTAAGAAAGCTTGCATATTAGACGATCTAAGTTTGAAAGTGATAAATTTATGTATAACTTTTAGTTCCATGATTGAAATGATTAGAGACTTCATAATTAACTTTTCTCTAACAACATGCAATTTATAGGTAAAGAAAAGAAGAAGATACTAGCATCAATTTACATGTTCCATATTTAAATTTGAAAAAGTATTGAATTTTGGCACAAACTCGATTCACGATAATACATTTGTAAAACAGTTTTTTTTGGTGGCCGATATAATTCTAAATTCATTCCAAAAACAAAAACTAAACTGAAATTCTTATGTTTTTTTTTTGTGCAAATTTTTTTTTCCTAAAATGGTTAAAATGTGCTAGCATAATATATCATTATCATACATTTTTGGAAAAAATGGACCTTTCAAGCTTTGAATTATGGCATTAATACTTTACAAAAAGAGGGCAGTATAGAATGGTGTGAATTCAGTGTAAACAATAAAAAAAAAACAAGTCAAGTTATATCAAAAACTTTGCCATCAATAATGTCCACACTAAAAAAAAAAACTATTTCAATCTAGTTAAGTGCTAGCCCAAGAAATTATCCGCTTACTTTTTAAGTTATGACTTGAAACTATTCGCTAATATATATTTCTTTTTTGTATCCCCAACGCAAGTTACGTTCTAAGACATCCATTTTTATGGAATTGTCATTCGATTTTCTTAATAAGTCAACTGGCAAAAAAAAAATCATATTAAATAGTGATTATAACTAATTGTTTTGATTTCTCGGCCATCTCAGCGGAGGACAGAGTATACAACTACTTTCAAATTCAGTTCCCAAGACCGTTAATGTATGATTCCTATGTTGTTATAAGTAAATACAAACAACACAAAAAGGTTAAACGGTTCTTCATTGAATTCTCAACTTTAAAAAAAAAATTGAATTTTTTTTACCTATTGTATCTTCATAGATCCATTGTCTCTTTGCTAGGTTTTTCTTTTTTGGATCACCATTTAACTTTGGTTTTTGTGAAAGGATGAAGATCTGATTTTTATTTTTATTTTGGTATTAGTTGCTTTAAGTGCATTTCATGTTCTATTTTTAGAATTAGCGACATGGTCTTGTTTACCAGAAAATGACTTTAGCTGATATTTATCTAGTAAGGTTGATTATTAAAAAAGTGATTGAAATTTTTTGTGAATAAATTAGTTAACTATTAGTAATTAATAGCTCGGACTCGGATAATGGATTTTTCACATATTATACGTAAAGGAAACAAATATCAGCTTCAAATAATTCGGTCAACTTTTTATTTCGTTTAGTTAATATATATATATATGAAATGTCAAATTACAGTATAACAATTGATGCCAAGTCATCTTAATTAGAGGGGTGTATTCAAAATAGAATTTTAAGAGATTTGAGTTTTATTGGGGTTTTAAATGATTTTGATGATTTTAGGGAAGTTCATATGATTTTTGTAAAATCCTTTCAAATCTCACCAAAAACTATGGGATTTGGATTTCTGTATTTTTAACTAGGGAAATCCTCCCAAATCCTCTAAAATCCTTCAAAATAATTAAAAGCCAAATCCACAAATTGTTTTCAATAACAGTGGATTTTAAGGTGGATTTTGAAATCATTAGTTGAATAACACTGAATTTCATGAGACTTTTTAAAATTCATGTTAAATTTCACTTTGAATACACCCCCTTAGTTTAGGAGTTATTTTAATTTTTTAGTGAAAATTTCATTTGGTCGTTAACACAATCCCATAAATTGGAAGTGGAGAATAACTTTACACATTCCCATAATATAAAGTTATCGCTCATCATTTCTTTATCATACTGAAAGAATTGATTAGTGTCTCGCGAATATATAATCCTATAAGTTAATACCCATTTTTGAGAAACATACAGAGTGAAATCCATTATTAATATTTTCGTTTTCTCCAAATCTAATTTAAATGTGAACTAGTTAACTAATAACAAAATGTTCTTTAATTAAATCTATTATGAAAATACATAATATATATATATACACACGCATACTTTTACATTATTACAGATATTCACAATTATTATATTATTTTTCCTCTTGCTTTTATTTTATTTTATTTTTCTTACACTTGTCCACATAACATAAGGACTAGCTATATAGATATATAGATACACAATTAAGCCACACGAAAATCCACCATAAGCTCCAAAGGTCCATCACCCTTACATTTCTTTTTTTTTACCAAAGTCTCTCTCAATCGATAGCTTGAGGGAGATAAGTCGATCGAAGTCATATATTATTCGTTTGTAATTCAACGGCGGTCCAACAACCAAAACCCGATGGCTACGTAGCTTACGTTGGAACTAATCATCTCAAGCCTGTCCATTGTTGCACATGAACGTCATCGTTTTCTTTTTGGTTGCTTCCATAGTTCCATTATCCTACAAGCTAAATGTTTCTGATTCGTATATGCATGTAGACATTGATTGGTCGATCATTTAATAATTTTGTTTTGGTTTTGTCTTAAAAGGCCCATTTGGTCCTAGAAGGTGTGATAAGGGCCCAATTTTGAATGGTGATAATTAAACAATAAAAAGCCCTTAAGAAGTCAAGTTATCTACAAATTTGCCATCATCTTCAAGAGACGTGTAGCAGAAGAAACAGAGGAAACTGAAAAATAGGCTTCTAGTCTCTTTACGGGTACGTACATGGAGGAATCATGGAGACGAAGAAGAAGTGACATTTTATGCGTATTGTCCAAGCCACTAAAAGATACGATTCTTCTTCATCCTCTTCTTCGCAGAGATTTCAAATGGATAGAGATAAAAGCAAGAGAAGCTCTGAAACAACATGATCAACAAATCGAATCTCAAGCTAATGAAAAACCAAGAATTATCGTCAAGATATCATTAGATGTGGTCAGAACCAATGATCCAATCAGGTTTGAAGAACCACCTGAGATATCCGGATGATCGTTCCTCACAACTTCAGCTCTTCATCTAAGAACACTTTCAAACAGTAAAAATATACCTATATCTTTAGAGAAGTTAGTAGGGCTTTCAGCTTCTTGTGTGGTTTTGAATGGTTTTATTTTGCTCTGAGCTACTGACTTCGAGGATGAACTTGGTAGAGGGGGCTTGCACCTTTAGCTTTTAGCTGTGTGAGGTTCCTTTTCAGAGAAAGCTCATGGACTAAAACGAAGAATCGGTCTCACATGACGAAGGGGGAGTTTGTGATCGATGATTTGGAGTTTTACCGTTGACGGCTCAGTCTTGGACCTCCTGCGAAAGGTTTCTAAAGCTAGTCACTAGTCGTATTAAGGTGTCTTACAATTTGCTTTCGCCCTTCTCCTTTTGCAACTCATCCGGGAAGGACTTCATAAACGTCATCGCTTCATCTTGTTCCCATAGCTTATTGGCTTGGTTGAATAGATGGACCAAAAATTTGGTTTAATTACCGTCTTATGCTTTCATGTTTTTATTCTTTTTTGCCATAAAACCATATGTATACGTTTCAATTCTTTGGATTGTAACGTAAACCATTTTCATTATTAATAAAATATTTACAATTTAGCAAAAAATATATATATATATATATATATATATATATATATATATATATATATCTATATCTTATTTTACATCACGATTAGTGTATTTTCTTGTATATTACTGAGAATCCAACAAATTCGATATTTTAGAGCGTTATATATATCCAACTATATATGTAAGAAAACATTCTCCAAAGGTTGTAATATATAGATTAAACATTAATTCTTGTATAATCTAAAGTTGTATAATAATAATTGGGAAGTCTATACAAAATTTGGAATCTGAGAATAAGACAAAAGATCGGCGACAAATCCTTTTGGGTGAGAACGTGATTTAGTTGTGCTTCAAGATTAATTACCCTTGTAATCATGGTTTCACAAAACTGGAAGAACATTTGAGTGTTTAGTCTCACGAGTTAATTAGGCATAGATTACACATTTTACTTATATATTACGTAAACATGTACGTAGAAGTACTTGATTTGAAGGAATTTAAGTAAAAATTACCTGCATACCAACCATATTATATTTTGCCATCGACATCATACAGTATATGTTATTTTTATTTATGTATCACCGAATTAGGTAAATGTTAATCACATCTTTTTACTATTTTGTATATCAATGATTAAAAATTGATAATATAACTAGATTGTGCTAGAGAAAAAAAGAAAAAAGAAAAAAGAAATATAGTTACCGTTAATTAAGAGATCGTTAATATACTTATTTTTAGGTACGTATAATATGCCTCTCCAATCATTAAGTCCTTTGGTTCATCAAGATATATATCTACGACCGATGCATGTTGTGTCCACGAAGAAAATATCAACAATCTCTACAAAATAGGTATATTAAAGAAATTAAAGTTGTATCTGTTATTATGAAAATGATATTATTATTAATTTGTTCTTGTTTTTGACCCCAAAATTACAAAGCATTTGTAGATTTTTAAACAATCCATTGACAGTCCCAATCCATGAGTATGGAACTGAGTTCCGCATAGACATTGCCTCTATAATCATGACTTCATAATACTGAGAGGAAAAAAAAACATGGCAATAAGTAACTGTAAAAAATATTTATACAAAACAGTAAATATAATATATTTTTATTCATTTAGTTTGTTTTTAACTAAAAAGAAATAGTATTATCGTAGAGAATAAATGTATTATTTAATGATAAATTATATAAATTTGTTAGAACTGTTCAATATTTGTACTTACCGCTATACCATGGTTTTAATAAGCTAGATGCATAATAAAGATTGGTAATTGATTCTTGAAATTAAGAATCAATCTCATCGTCAAAAATATTTTTTCTAATCGAAATGACAAAATCAGTATTTAAGTCATTTTTCAAAATTTTCCATATAAATTGAAATATTTACGTCATTGCATGGACTAGATATAATCCATAGAGTTTGACGACATTGACTAGACATAATTCAAAGAGATTTGATGACAGAGTGTGATGATCATGTATAATGAAATACAATAAATGCAAAGATTGACGACATGAGGATCGTTAAGACTGAAAAGAAATGACCCTTGAGTCACTATGTTGGAGGTATAATTTTTGTTGTTGTGTACTCTTATTCCTTATATTGATGGATTGATTGATAAACTCTAAAAGCAATTATGTACCAAATGATTTTTTGAGGATATAAACCTTTATATTGATTGATAATCAAGCTAACTACGACAAGGAAAATAATAAAGTAGACATATTCTCCTTTGGAGTTGTGATGTTCTAAGTTATTACTCGGCGAAAGCATCCATGGAGACACTTCCACAAGACAAAACTCCCGAAGTACAATTATTGTAGCATTTGTGATTTATTAAAATTTATGGAAACGCTCAATCTTAATTTAGGGAATCTTCACGGAACTTTCACGGAATATCCAATTTGGCCTTCTAAACAAGTCAATAATTATTCTAATTAGATATTTTGATTTTTCAACCACTTTTCTAGGTGGAGTATACAACTATTTTGATCTTTGGATTTTTTATAATTATTATTAGAGTAAAACCTCTATATATTAATAATTTTGAGAGTGTAAAATTTTATTAATTTATAGAGGTATTAAATTATCAATATTAATTTATGTAGATTTTTTCTATCTTATATTTTTGTAATTTTCTTATTAATTTTTTTTTGTTACAATTCATATTCTTATAGAAATTTATTTATTTATAGTTTTCTTTTGCTTTAAAATTTACATATCCTTGTTTATATATTTTTTTTAATCTTGTAAGAGATGAGCTCCAACAAGAATGCAATTTTAATAATAAGCATATAATTTACTATTAGTCATAAGTTTCCTAATTTTTCGTAGAAATAAATGTATAAAATTTGCTTTTTGGTTGTTGACAACAACATGGATAGAAGTTCAAACTGGGATTATCTTGAAAAGTTATGTAGATGGATTCATTATCACTAGAGTTTTAAAATTTATTGTTTATGTTTAGGATTGATGTTAAGTACAAATGGAATTTTATTTAGTTCCATACAAGGAGCAAATGGGCCTTTTAGGCCTTGAATTTTGACATTAATACTTTACAAAAAGGCCCAGTTTTGAATGGTGAGAATTCAGTTTAAACAATAAAAACCTCCCTAAGAAATCAAGTTATCTACAACTTTGCCATCAATAATGTCCACACACACACACACACAAATTATCATCTTAGAGAGAGGTGTAGTAGAAGAAACAGAGAAAACTGAAAATGGTGCTGTTAGGTTTCCAGACTCTTAATTGGTACGTGCATGGAGGAATGATGGAGAAAAAGAGACAATTGATGCATATTGTCCAAGCCACTGAAAGAGATGATTCTTCTTCTTCACAGAGATTTCAAATCGATAGAGATAAAGCAAGAGAAGCTCTGAAACAGCTTGATCAACAAATTGAATCTCAAGCTGATGAAAAACCAAGAAGTATCGTCAAGACATCACCAGATGTAGTCAGAACCAATGATCCAATCATGTTTGAAGAACCACCTGAGATGTCCGGATCGTTCCTCACAACTTCAGCTTTTCTTCTCTTAGCTCTTACCTTGTTCTACAACATTTTGTTCATTACAGTGATAAAACCATCCATGGATGGACCAGAATCAGTTCCAGAAGAAAACAGACTTGCTATGTCTGATTCTGACATTGTGAAGTTTCCACTTTCATCTTTGCCTGAAAACACTTTCAAACAGTAAAAATATACTTATCTCTTTACATAATGATTAGTGTCTTTTCTTGTATATTACATCTTCATTGTTGTCAATGCTAAAATGTTCACATAAACCACAGAAAACTGAATAGTGAAAACAAAATTGGAACTCTCTCTTTAGTGCAAAGAGTTTCTTTACTGAGACATTGTTAGCTTTTCGAGCTGCAACAACCTAAATGAAGTATCTTTATCCAACCTCAGTCCAGCATCTTCAACTTCCTTGCATATTTCTTTACACTTTGTCAATCGCCCTGAAGCAGTGTAAACGCTAATCATATCGCGATAAATATCATATGTTGGCGAGAATCCAGCTTCCTTCAGTTTAGAGTAATATCTCATCGCCCTTCCCAAATCATCCAATGCCACAAATAGTCTAATGACTACTCTATAAGCTGGAAGATCAAGCAGACAGTTTGATTCCTCCATCTCCCAGACCACATTCATCGCCTCCCGGTATTTCTGTTCTGAGTACCTGCTATGTATCATCGTAGTGTACATTACAACGCTTGGTTCTCTGTTTGATTCTTTAAACCAGTCAAAGAGAGATTCAACGAGCTCAAATTCTCCCAGTTTCACACATATCTTCATAATACCTGTGCAATCCTGTTGGCTCAATTTTAAATCTTCTCTTTCTTTCAGTTCCTCGAGAAGAGCAACTACAAGATGGTATTTGTCAGGGTTTTTAGCTATTTCCAGAATCATCTTCACGTAAACACTCGAGTCGAGTATACGATTGTTACTCTTTGAGATCAATATAAGCTTCCGAGCTAGATTCAACCATCCGCCTTCAATGCATCCCTTGATCATTGCTTCAATTACGTTCTTGCTAGCCAAACTATTGTCGAACTTAAGCAATTTCAGCTCGTGGTGCTTCGCTAAAACCTGAATAGTGGATGCGAGAATCCGGTTATCTGGAACTAAATGAGAATGCTTTCCAGCCCAATGATATGTCTGTAAAGCTCTCTCAGGCAAACCCATATGACCCAGCTCTCTAATGGTCATAGAGAGTGACCCTTTACGCAAGAAGCTAACCCATTTATTGAGAACAAGAGAGACATCTGCATCAGAAGAAGGCAACCTCTTGATCTCTCTAGCTAAACCAATGAGAAAGCTCGGATCTTTATGCACTTGCTTCGATACAGAACACAATGCAGCTGATCTTATATTCTTCTTTGGAGTTGGAAGACCCAAAGGTCGTAACTTGTGAGGTTGAGGAAGTGGTAAAGGCCTAACTCGAATCGGTTGTTCGGGTTTTTGAGGAATCCTTTTCTGAAAAAGCGACGAAATCGCCTCTATTTCTTCTGGTTCCCATACAACAGCATCATCATCCACTAGTTCTTGATCTTGCACATCATCATCATCATAATCATCCACTAGTGGTTCAACTTTGGGTTTCCTCAGAAACAAATTAACACCAAAATCAGGAGGAAGCTTCGTACGGCGTGGATTACGGAGATTCTTAGTGAGTTTCTTAGAATGATTCCTTTGAATCGCATTGACTCTTGTTACTCCTATGTTTCTGATTCTTCTACTGGTTTGAGGATTCAATTGGAAGCTAAGTGACGAAGAGACAGGACAATGCAGTATCATTCCTAAAACACCACGAAATCACGGTTCTCTAATTCACGCTGAATCAAATCGAATCCAGACTAAGCAGAGATTAAAAATCCTTAAGAAATCAAACTCAAAACGTTTCTACAATAGAATCGGGAACAGCGAAGGTTTTGAAATCGAACACAAACCTTAGAAAAGGATTAAACTTTAGGTATAGAAACGAAACCCCATGAAGAATACTGAAGCACTGTATTAGTCTAAAGAGTAAATTTCGAATGAAGCTTGCCTCAACCTAAGAGTAAGAACGAGCTTGAGATAGATAGAGCACACAAGGGTAGGGAAGAAGAAGAAGAAGAGGAAATTTGTTTTTTTTCTTCTAAATAATCAATTACCCGGTTCGATCAAACCGACCCGAAATGACCCGACCCAACTGAAATCGAAAAGGCCAATCTTTTAAAATATTTGAAAAAGTTGGTTTTGGGGATAAGCATTAAACAAGAGCTGATGTGTGGCGGAACCTTTGGAAGCAAGTAGAGTGTTTTAACCAGTTGGGTAATAGCTGGCAAAAAGCAAAACATCAACCTCAAAACGACTAAACACAAATAAGAAATGTGCTAAAGCCAATTTTGTCTAGTTTTTTCACAATTCTATCCATTTGATGGTCCCTAAATTTGCCAAATTTGACCTCTATGTAAAACTAAATTGTTTTTTTTCTTAATTTTCATTCTCTTTTGTGTTTTCATAATTTCGCAGATTTATTACTCTACAACTAAAACTCAAAACGACAATTCGAAACTTAAATACTCAAAAATGTGAAATTGGTCTTATACTATACAAATTGGTCTTATACTATACATTAGTTAATAATGAAAGAAACAAAGGTTATTTTTTGGTAAATGAATTGTTTACTCAGCTCAAAATTTGTTGGAATGCAAAAGGTACAATGTATGAATTACATGAAATTGTCGTTGTATGTTTTTATACATATATGTGCATGAACATGACCACACAAAATTAAAACAATATTCGTTGGACCCATTGAATAAAACAAGTACAAGAGAGAGACAAAACTTTCGTCTCACATAAAGTACCCAAAAATTGAATACAAAATATATAGTATAAAATAATTCGATCAATAAGCCAAAGAAAATGATAACAAAAATAATATTTATTCCAAGACAGCTGAACTTACATATATATTCGTAAACGACAGTATTTACAAAAACAAGACAACAATTTGTAATATTCAAACTCGGAAAAATCTCTCAAATAAAAAAATTAATTTATTTTCTTCTTCTTTTTATATATTCATATACAAGCAACAAATGACAAAAATGCCCCCTCTAACTGTGAAAATGCACTGAATCATAAATTAACCAATATATGGACTTATTATAGAAACCCCCAACAAATCTCACTCAACACCATATTATTGACTATATATCTTGTTATTCATATCGACTCTGTTCCATCGACCCTGCTTCTCTTGCTACGGTGCTTTCCACTGCGGTGGCGCCTCGGGATTCCGCCAAATGTGACTGGATCATAAACCCTAAGCCTTTGAGCCTCTGCGGGATTTACCACACACTCGGATAACGCAACCTTGTACCTTGTCCTATCATAGCAATACGAGTATGTCATGTGTTTCCGCCTGAAAATGTCCATTTTACTCCTCTGCGTCGGGGTAATCTCCTGTGCCGCACTGATATCCTCGGCCGCTCCTTCATCACACCTCGGAAACTGCTCGATTGGGTCCACGGGACAGCCGTGAAGGACTAGATCAGAGAACCGCGCGATGTAAGGCGCATATTTGTAATTTACACCGTACTTTCCACCATTTGTTGCCCATTTAGAACCGTCCCATATTGTTGTGTAGAGAGACATCGGCTTTGATGGAAAATCACCGCCCATTGACGCTGTTCGTTTGACCTCTCTGATCGGAACACTGTCTACAAAGAATCTGCATAACCAACAATATCACAACTTAGTACCCACAAAAAAAGTAATAACCAGGGAAAAGGATTTGATTGTTAGCTATAAAGAAAAACATATTTAGATTAAGTAAAGATAGATACTGCATGGGTCATTGATGCCATAATTGGACAAAATAGGAAAATTGTGATCTTGATCAATACACTAAAACTACAAGCTTAGAAAGATAACATTTTTGGCATAAAAAATTTCCAGCTTTTGATGAACTAAGTAAAAGATTCTCAACTTGTGAACTGGACCCCCAAAGGAAAAAACATACTCTCTCTATAGGGTCTCTGCTGATGCCAAAAAACGAAAGCTGTAAACCATTTTGGGGGCTCACACACCCGAAACTGACAGGAACAATACAACCAAAAGCAAATGATGTCCCAAGCATCACCAAAAACTTTCCACAAGAAGGAAAAAAACTTAATATCCACCAAGAAATTTGAAGCATAGTTTTTCAACAAAAAGATCCTCCCATCATTAAAACCCCACTTGGGTTTCCTTAAATAGAAGATGACATTATTGAATCCAGAACGCTTTAAAATCAAATATGGGGTCAATCGCCTAACCTCCTTTCAAAACTCTTAACGTTATTGAGTTAGCTAAATAACAAACACAGAGATTAATAGAGAATGATGTTTTTTTACTTACATGATGTGAGAATCAGACCAGAGGATACTGTATTGATGAAAATCTTCGGTTGGATCAAACCAGAGATTATATCTCTCTTCTCTTCCCAAATGAGTGCTTCCATTACCGTAGATGTTTGTCTGAATCCTCCACTCTTTTCCTCTAATGTTACCAAGAAACTCAAAATCTATCTCATCATGGTTCTTCTCATACATATCTCCATTGGACATCTGAAACCATAACAACCAACCAACAAAAAAATCAGATTATTACTTAATACTAATCCCAAACCAATAGTGAAATTAATCAAACTTATAAGAAAAAAAGATCCTTAATTGGTAACCATACATAACAATGAACCTAAAGATAAATCAGATTATTTTACTTACATAAAAGGCAACAACAACTCCAGCTGAATAATCAGAAGGTAATTTGATAGAAGCACTGAAGAATCCATGCAAGTAAAGATCATTTGAAACAAACCCAGAACCTGCAAAAAGACCAAACCATCACTAAACCGAGAGAAAACAAAGAAACAAGAACAGAGGAAAGATGAGAAGAGAAGAACCGTACCGGTCCTTTCATCGAGCGTTAACCGGACAGATTTGCCATCTTTATGAACAAACAAGTTCTTGTCACCGAAAAGTTGAGTGTAACCTTCTTCAAAAGATGTGACTGGAAGGTTCTGTAGAGCGAATCCAGAAACTAAACCGGAAAACAGAGACATGAAAACCAAGAAACGACTCAAAGTTTCCATTTTTTTTTTGTAATAATCTTTTTGCACCACTAACACGCTTCTGTATGCGTAGATTGAAGAAGAAGAGCTTATAGAGAAATAAAGAGAGAGAGAGA